TTTAAGAGTCAGTTGCGTCATGCCATGGCGCTATTTGCTATTTACATGGCGGATTTTGTAAGTGGAAAAACTGAACGTTTCACTAGTGAAAAAACAGTTAAACAGAGCATCTGCAGCACGAGGATAAAGAATGAGCCTCCTCCATTCGGCCACTTTACTTTCTCTTTACTCCTTTACTTTCGTGGATAAGGAAACCGTGTTATACGCACTTCACTGAAGACATCCATTAGCCTACATGTTTCATTTCATTTTTTAAGCACAAAGGTTTGTTTCAAAAGTATTTTTAAATTCAGTTTTAATTTTCAGAAAACAAATAAATGAACAACAATAACCAAGTGTGGTCAAAAAACAGAGTTATATCCAAACACACATCCTATTCTTATGCCCCATATAGTGATGCATATGTCTCCAAAACCTGACAGGTGGACGAATCAAAACTTATTTAAAAAAATATATATATATAAATATTCATATAATAAATATTTCTACTAATTGTAATAACATTATAATAAAAATGCAAATCGTCATGAAAAAACTGAAAAAAGCCCCCCCCGAGATGAAGGTATGGAGGCTGTGGTTTTTATTTTTATGTAGAAAATAATAATTTTTGTAACATATTAATCCTTTTATTTTTTTCATACATACATATATTTGTGTATTGCTCTGCACTGGACTTTAGAGCAGCTTTTACTGCTCATGAAAATTGGAGTTGCAGTGGTATGAAAATAGTGTTGCGCTAACTGCCTTTTAAGTGAAAACATCTACTGAAATAATAATACATTTGTGATTTTATCTATTTATATTATGTTTTTGTGTCAGAATACCATTGACAGGGATGCTTTTTGAGTCACAAGTTAGACTCTGGCCTGTGCCATGTGCCGATTCCCATCACCCTCCTCTCTCCACAGTAATATCTTGCCACTCTGCACTATGCTGTCAAAAAGGCGTCAAATGAAATGGAAACGTAAGAATTTCAGTAGACTCAGAGGAGAGAGAAATGTGCTCCAGGAGAGGATGAGAGGGAGGGAGAAGGAGTTGCAGTCCTCCTACAGTCTCTCAGATTCCTGCCAGTGTCTTTAGGGTGATCCCCTACTCATTCCCTGGCAGGGAGTTCGGAGGGGAAGGAAATTTAGCAGTATTAAATGGCTTAAATGTGGGTCTCCCTCTCATTACTGCCGGCGTTCCTATGACAATACGAGAAAAGGAGTGGGTGAGGGTTGGAGGGAGAGAAGGGGGGAGCGAGAGATGCAGAGGGGGAAGACAGGAGGGAAGAGGAAGATTGGCTGCGAGTTGTCTGTCCCATCTGGTCGCACACTCCCACACACTCCACCAGCTTTAGTGAAATGAGACAGTGAGCTTTCGCGCTGTAGGCGTCCAGAGAGAACGAGAGCAGGGAATGGTGAAAGGAGTGATGGGAAGAAGATGAGAAGGAAGAGATATATTAAAGGAATGGTGGAACAGAAAGCTGGCGAAACGGATAAGGCCACAAGGTTAGACGGATGGAGGGAAAAAAGCAAGACGAGAAGAGTAAGCAGCTGTGCCTCACGGGCACCTGGACGCAACAAGATACCACGTAGACAGACCTTTCACTCTCAGGATCGACTCTAGTCCACTTTGATGATTATTCTGGCCAAGGATGGAGAGGAATAAGTGGTTTGATCAAGATGTAAAGCAGGGACTTGCAGACTACCATTTTAATCCTGCCCCTTCACATGATTTTTTAAGTAATCCTGAACACAAGAATGTTTTCCCTCCAGGTGCACGTTGGCTACCCAACCCACGAATCTCCAAATCTTCTTGCTCAGAAGCTTTCTATTTTCCACAAACGTTTCTATTGTTCATTGTTGCCTGGTTTCGAGATCGGTATTGTTTTTAGGATTGAAACAATCAAACTGTATTTTCAGTGGTGGAGTGTGCAGAATGGTTAGACATTGGGGCTTGTACATAGAAAAAATGTAATCATCAAACACTTTTTTTGTTGCAAGTTATATAATTGGTGTCTTTATAAAAGCTGTGAAAAATGACCCAATGGAATGAACTGCACTGGTGACCTTCTCCCATGCAGAATTTTTTCTTTTGTTTGTTAATTCTCCTTCAGTGAGTGAACCAAACAATACTTGTTGGCTGGATTACCAGTGCCTCCAATGATGTGTTTGTGAAGTTCCTTTTCTTTGGTTTTTAAAGGGAAGTGTTGTCACCATACACTGCCTGACTATTTTTGACAAGTATTGTCGTCGATCCCAGTTGTGAGAGCAACAAATAATACATTTATTTCTAGTTGATCGTTTGGAAAAGTGGCAGAAGGTTGATTTTTTTCCGATGGATCATCTGTTGAACTGCATCACAATCTTCAGAAATGCCGCAGAAGACATATTGGAGCCCACATGGACCCAAGATTCTCACAGAAATCAGTCTAGTTGTGTAGGAAGAATCTTGGTTTGGGGTTACATTCAGTATGGGAACATTCGAGAGATCTGCAGAGCGGATGGCAACATGAACAGCATAAGGTATCAAGACATTTGTGCTGCCCATTACATTATAAACCACAGGAGAGGGCAAACTCTTCAGCAGGTTAACACTCTTTCTCATACTTCAGCCTCCATATCAAAGTGCCTAAAAGCAAAGAAGGTCACGGTGCTCCAGGAATGGTCAGCACAGTCACCAGAGCTGAACATTATTGAGCATGTCTTGGCTAAGATGGAGTAGGCATTGAAGATGAATCCAAAAAAACCTTGATGAACTCTGAGAGTCCTGCAAGAAGGCTTTATTTGCCATTCCAGATTACTTGATTAATAAGTTATTTGAGTCATTGCAGAGATGTATGGATGCAGTCCTCCAAGCTCATGGGAGTCAAACAATATTAATATTAATTAAAAATAAAAATTCTTTATCCACTGCACCATGACTTTATATTCTATACTATACATTATTTCTGTTAAGTGACAAGAGTTTTGTCCAAGCAAAGTCAGGCCTTACTGTCCCGAATAAATAATTAAGAATCAAGGCATGGTCATATTTTATTTTGGTCAAATTAGCGTAATCTAAAGGCCTTTGCCTTTCATATAAGCTACTTCTGATACCAAATGATCAACTAGAAGTCAAGTCAACTAGTCAAGTTATTATTTGTTATTCCTAAAACTTAGATAGGCGACAAGACTTTTGTCAGGTAGTGTATACTGTAGGGTTAAATTGTAGGAGTTTCCAAATGCTTACAGTGTGACTGTGAATGAGCATGGAATCTAAGCATGTGTGTTTTATCAACAATGATTGTTTACTCGTGTGCATATAGTAAGAACTGCATTAGCACGTTTGATAAATATTGATTTTCTTGTACTTTGGTACATTCTGAATTTCATTCATAGGACAAAATATTGAACCTTTTCTACGCACTCTTGGTAAATGAGGGGCCTTGGTACCTAACAAAGGTTTTTTGCCCTATGGACTTATCTGCTCCCTGATCCCCTAAAAATCCAATGAAACCAAAAAGCAGGGTTCATTCTGTGTGCAATATACAGAGTAAAGTCAGTGAATAGACTGGCTTTGCCATCTGTTGTCAGCGAAGGTAAAGGTCAGACAGACCAAAGCCACATCAAAGAACTGCAGTGACTAAAGCCGATTGTAGTTTTGCACCTGCATCTGGGTCACGAAGTTGCACCAACCAGCTTTTATGTTCTTTATCTGCATGAGAGGAAGTAACTCTCAATAACAGAACATGGCAGTTGCTGTTTTTGTAAAATACAAAACGGGAACCAGAAGAAATTGGACATTAGATACAATGAGAATACTCTTCTGTTTGTGCCCTTTTGGCTTGGTCGCTTCAGTTTTTCTTTTTGCATGTTGGTTTGCTAAGCTGAACAGCCAATCAGAGGTCTGCCACACTGAGCTAGCACTGTGAAGCACTGCAGAAAAACTAAACAAACTCGGTGACTATGTTTACATGGACATCAGTAAGCTAATTATTTACCTTAATCAGATAAAGAATAATAATATGATTAAGGTGTTTACATGAGTTGCTTTTTAAAATAATTACTTTCATGTTCCCATTTCACATGTTATTATACAGTACATAGTTTGATTACCGTCATTACATCACCATTCGACGATAGTTTTCTCCGTTATTTCACGCAACAACAGTTTGTGTTCTTAAGGACACCATATGTATGTTTGAGCGTTACATTTTGTGTTCAACTGCAGTTAACTTCTCATACTATGCGTGTAAATAGACAACGGCGAGTACAAATTCTGAAGTAACAAGCCATTTCATTCATTTGTTTGTCATTAAAGGCCTGGCAACTACCGTGTTTTGCGTCCTGTTGCAAAATGTAGAAAAAAACACTACAAAGCGGTAATAGTCTGATTAAGAAGATTACATGCCTGTACTGCACTTCAAGTATGCCACTAAAGTAGTAATACTCCACACATCTTAATTAGATTTCTGTTTAGTTTGATATTGACTTTAGTCGGATTAACTTCATCAAAAATTGCTGTTTACATGGTAGACTCTTAATCAGAGTGTTGTCTTAATCACATTAAAATCAGAGTATAGGTGTCCATGTAAATACAGAGTATAGGTGTCCATACTTGGTGACAGCTAAACACTGACCAACAGCTGAACGCTGGCATGGTGTGTCATGCAGAAAGTTGCAAAGAGAGTCACTCACAGCTCCAATATGGAAGTTCTGAACAGAAAAAAAAATGAGCCGCAGTAAACTTCCACATCAATATATGACGTGGTATACCAGAGTACACATTACATTTACACAATTCCCACAAACCAATGGCATTTCAAAGGTGTTGACCAACTTTTGCAAAGTTCACTTAGATTGTTTTTGCCTGGTTTTGTTTGAAATGATGTCATGGCAGTTTGCACACCAGTACATCAGAGCCTTGTGTCAGAGCCTAGACATGTTTGATCATCAAACAGATCTCTGTTATAGCGGCCTGACTGTGTTTATTCTGTTCCATGGGTTCTGATCGGTGTGTGTGTGTGTGTGTGACAGGAGGCCATGCAGCAGTGGTACCAACACTACCAAGCACAGACCTACGGCAACACTAGTCAAGATACGACAGCAGTTACTGACTGCGCGAAAGAGCAACCTCAGGTAAACACACAAGCATACCCATAAACACTGTACGTTTTATCTCTCCACAAAAACAAAATAAGTCGAAAAAATCCTGAAATCCTCTGGAAACAGTGTAATAACTATGGCTGTGTGATTTGAGGAAAATATCTAATTGAGATTTTTTTTTTTGACATATTGCAAATTCGATTTGATTTGTGATTTCATTTTGTAGTCAAGCTTCAGCTCAATAATCTGATATTAAGATAATAACTCATATTGTACTTACAGTAACTGTTGCTTGCTACTAGATTGAGTGACACTGGCAGTACATTTATACTTTCATACTAAAGCAGTTGACTTTTTAGCAAAGCCGTGGGTTTGCACTTGACATTAGTGGGGAAGGGTGAATCCCCTCAAGAATGAATATGGTTCATATATGCATACAGTTGAAGTCAGAATTATTAGCCCTCCTTTAAATAGTTTTTTTTCTTTTTTTAAATATTTCCCAAATGATGTTTAACAGAACAAGAACATTTTCACAGTATGTCTGATAATATTTTTTCTTCTGGAGAAAGTCTTATTTGTTTTATTTCGGCTTGGATAAAAGCAGATTTTAATTTTGTAAAAGCCATTTTAAGGACAATATTATTAGCCCCTTTAAGCTAGATTTTTTTCCGAAAGTCTATAGAAAACAACCATCGTTATACAATAACTTGCCTAATTACCCTAATCTGCCTAGTTAACCCAATTAACCTAGTTAAGCATTTAAATGTCACTTTAAGCTGTATAGAAGTGTCTTGAAAAACATCTAGTAAAATATTATTTACTGTCATCATGGCAAAGATAAAATACATCAGTTATTAGACATGAGTTATTAAAACTATTATGTTTAAAAATGTGTCGAAAAAAATCTGCTCTCCATTAAACAGAAATTGGGGGAAAAATAAACAGGGGGGCTAATAATTGAGGAGGGCAAATAATTCTGACTATCTATCTATCTATCTATCTATCTATATATATATAAATATATATATATATATATATATATATATATATAGATATATATATATATATATATATATATATAGTTGAAGTTAGAATTGAATTATTAGAAGAAGAAAAAACGGGGGCAAATAATTAATTGGGGTCAATAGAAATCTGCTCTATTGTGGAGCTAGTAGACTAGTGGAACTTTGATGAATTGAAGTCTCAGTTACTTCCATATTAGCTTCATGAGGGAGATTGAGATGTTGCCATTTAGTTTAAATGGAAATTTTATTGTGTAGTCTGAAAAAGTCAGATCAGCACCACCTTGGTGAGTAGATAAAGACTGATTTTTTGTTCATTTATTTATTTATTTATTTATTTATTTATTTATTGGAATGAACTGTCTATTTAATGAAAATGTAAATATGTTAGGGCAGGTTTTTTCCAAATAAATTTGCTATGTAGCTGCAGGATGTTGCTGAGAAGTCAATAAATAAATCATGAAAAAAAAGTTTGTTTACCTACATGTCATGTGACCAGTAACCAAAAGCATGCATTTATACTGAAAGCTGAGCAAACATTGACTCAGTGTATGCACAAAATGTTCAGGTTAAAAATTTTGCTTACAAAAAACGGAAAACATCCAACTCAAGTTAAAAAGAAGGTCAATGGAAAGTCCCCAGCATGATAAGAAATGTGTGTGTTTATGTTCCACAGGTGGTGGTCACCTCCTCATACGGAGACTACAGCTCCTACATGCACGCTGTCAGTCAGTACTATTCTCAGACGCAGATGAACCAGACAGCTGCTCAAGTCTACCAGCACCGAGATGTCAGCAAGGTAATGTACACACACACTGCGACACGTCATGCTTAATCATGCTCACTTTACAGTCTACATGAACCAACTCTGTTCATCTTAGAATCTCTACACACTGATAGGGGAGTTTACTGTGCAGAGATAAACATACACTATGTACAGAACCAAACATGCAGAGCAGACATCACACACACATACAGGTCAGAAATACTCCAGTCGTCAATCTTCTGACAGATGTCAGAGAAGTCCAAATCCTGAACGTCCACTGTGTCTAAGTGTTTCTTGGCATGTGAGGGATCACTGTATGCACACTGTGGTTCTGACACCACAGACCAAAATAGAGAAACATTTGACTTCTCTGGAGGTATATAGAGTTTGTAAACTGTATGCATTCAGCAACACAAAGTTGTATACTGATATATGTACATTTCTGCATTTTAATATGCATATTAACTCTTTAACTGCCCACTCTACCAATCGATTGACTATATTTTGATTTTATTATATATATTTTTATATTATGTTATATTATGTTAATTTCATTAACGAAGTGATTTAAGTTTTAAATAATGGTTTACACAGACAGCATTGTTGGTTCACAAAACTAAAACCAAACATAATCCTGTTGCACTACTACACTTGATTTTGGTTTTATTGTGAAATAAAACAAGAACATGTTAAAATGTTAAATGAGAATCTGAAATATTTTAAGGCATAATAAAAAAAAAATGAAGATTTAGTGTTCAAAGAAGAGGTGTAAGACCAATTTATTTAAAAACATAATCAAAATAAAACATTTTGATTATGTTTTTAAATGAATTGGTCTTCAAACTCTTCTTTTCAGATTTTTATAGTATATGTGTTAATTCTGGTACTTTTACCGTAAATCGACATATCTTTCATGTGATAGAGGTTGATATTTTAGAAATTATGGGATGTGTTGAAAAAAAAATGCATTGAGTGTGTTAACTAGCAACATCAGGAGTTAAGAAATGCAATTCAATTTTTTTTCTTGGTAGGGTAGTTAAAGGGTTAAAGCAGACAATACATGTCAAATAAAAGAAACAACACCGAAAACAAACTAAATTGTCAATGAATAATAATAATAAAAAAAAAAGCTTAAATAAATAAAAAGGGTTTTTGTTTAGAATTTTTATCTGCTGTTAACTAAGAGACAAATATTTGGATTAAATAATTGTATTATGGATTCCTTTTGAAATACAATTAAAAATGTATCTTATTTTATGCAAAGCCAAATATTCCAGCATTACTCTAGTCTTCTGTGTCACATGATCCATCAGAAATTAAGTTTTGAATATTTTATTATTTTTTCAGCATTCTGAGCATGAAGTCCAAAACGGGAACAAGTTTTAAGAGAAATCCTTTGGAACAGTACGTTTAAATAGACACCAATACTCTGATTTTAATGCGATTAAGACAATAATCTGATTAAGAGTCTATCATGTAAACAGCAATTTTTGATTACCTCAATGCGACTAAAGTCATTATTAAACTAAACAGAAATCAAATGAATGTGGAGTAATCCTATTTTAGTGGCATTATTGATGTGCAGTACAGACATGTAAACACTTTACTCAAACTACTATCATCGTGTAGGATTTTTGCTGCATTTTTGAGAGGATAGTCTATACCAGGGTGGCCAACCCTGTTCCTGGAGAGCCACCTTCCTGCAGATTTCAGTTGCAACCCATATCAAACACACCTGCCTGTAATTATTACATGGTGTTCAGGTCCTAATTAATTGGTTCAGGTGTGTTTGATGTGGGTAGCAACTAAAATCTGCAGGAAGGTGGCTCTCCAGGAACTGGGTTGGCCACCCCTGGTCTATATACACACACACACACACACACACACACACAGCTGTTTGACACTATTCTCTGCACCCATCAAGTCAGTGAAGGACCACAGACACCGGCATCACGAAATGCAGAGGGTTTTTGTCCCATACGGCATGCTGTATGAAATTCCATTAAAACAACACTCTTCCAGCAGTTCATACTCGCATCCAATATCTTGTTTGTAACAGGGGGCATGCATGAAATGTTCCTAAATGTAAGTGAAAGTGTCAAACTGCAGTTAAAGTCGACAACTTAAAAATGAAACACCCAAAATTACATGAAACAGGAAATGTGGACAGCAAGATGCAATGACACTAACTGATTTCTGTGCTATAACATGTGAAACAGGATCATGAAAGGAACATTTGAAAAGCAGCTCAAGTAAACACCTTCAGCATATTAATACCTTATTCAGATTAAGAGAAATAATTTGATTACTGATGTCCATGTAAAAGTAGTCATTGTAATGTATTTACTGTCAATCTAATGTGGCCTATTATTAAGTATGTATTCCTTTACAATATTGTACTTGTAATATGTTCAGTGCTGGTAAATATAACATTAATTTCAGAAACATCAAGAAATCTTTAAAAGTTCAAACTTTTTAATGATATCACCATTATAATATGGATGAAAAGTTGAATGGTAAAAGGAATATCAATTTCAGAACAGCTTTGCTTTATTGGCAGCAGCACTCACGCTGCTCTATTGTTCCAGTGTCACAAATGAGATCTTTGGACTGTTGGCCTAGTATGGAAGTATGGAAATGAAACACTTCAATTTACATATTTGTATTACTGGTAAAATTATATAACTATACATATGAGCTGGTTTACTGTATGTCTGGCCTATATACAAACATGTGTGTTGCTGTAGAAGTAAGCTTGTGTGTGTGTGTGTGTGTGTGTGTGTGTGTGTGTTATTTGCAGGGTGTATGAGCTTATGTAAATGTGGTGGCAGGTGGTGTTACAGGTCAGACACACATTCCTCACTTAGTCTCATGACACTCTCAGGACATGAGATCCTGCTGAAAACACTCCATCACTCCTCAGCACAGCAGCTGGCCCAGAGTGTGTGTGATCTGTAATCTGAATAGTCTATGAGTTTGTGTGTGTGTGTGTGTGTGGGTGTTATGCATAGATACAGTATAAATGCATGAATGTTTGATGATGTGTCTCTATAGGAGGTGGAGGTGGTGAAGACCCCCTTGAGTGCTCCTCTGCAAACCTCTCTAAATGGCAGCGCTCAGACCTTGTTGCCCACCTACAGTGCCCTTCCCATCATGCCCGGCTTCATCACACCAACACACACACATGCAGCCAGCCCTGCCACACACACACCTGCTGCACCCGCAGCCACCGACTGGAACAACTACTATTATGTGAGTGTTTATATGCGTTTCTGTAGAAAGTGTGCATAGGAATGAAAACAGAAGTGAGACATGTGACCTGTTAAACAGACAACTGAAAGATTACGGCCTCCAAGTGCCTTGGTGTCCCACCAGTGTTGATATAAAGCCCTATCGCACTGCTAGTGTGATATTACATTTGTACAACAGTTCGACAGCATAACCGTGTATATAAAAAAGAAAATCAAACACAGAGACTATAAATGTCTTTTGCATTAGGAACTACTTTCTTTTGACATTCGCTGACTTCAGAACAGCAGAAACTGCTGCTAATCCACAAACGTCACTTTAGAGCTAGTATTTGAATGATTCTCTTGCATAATGTCTAACATTACGACAAAACAGATGATTTTGCTCACATTTTAAGATTATAAGGCTGAACGGCATGAAATGCCATCAGTCTAGAGACATTTCCCAGTTTTTCTCTGTTGCAATCTGGATATGACAATAATTACCCCTTAAAAAAAGCCAAAGCAGCGTAAACACTAGCACATTACTATGGTATAAATACAGCACTACAACAGAGAGAGAGATCGACTTAGAATGTCACTTACCTGTGTTATAATGATTTGATCTGCAATAGCTGTCTCTGTTGCCCTCTTGTGGCGGAACATCAACCTTCTTTGCTCTGCTCAATATGACAAGTTGGCTGCCAACGTGCTGAGTTTCCAAAATTATAAATATTTAAAATAGGCACTACTCTTATAAATAAACTGCATAGTTGCAATCTAAACAACTACATTCTTGCCTAAAATCTTCAAAATACATTATATTGTCCAACAGATGCAATATTTGTCAAAGTTTATTGATCTGTTGTCACTTTATGTGGGTGGAGTAATACGCAGGGGTGAAGAGGCTGTACGAGTGCTGTTATTGCAAAATATCGCACAGCTATCAGCCAATCAGATTCCAGAACCAGATAGAAACAATTGCAGCGTTATGCATGTGAATTTGCAGTAAAATCTCAAAACATAAATTGACAGAGGAAGTATATGTAAACATTATATTGAAACAACTTTTTATATTTTTCAAAACAACTGAACAGAGTTATGGAGTCTGAAAAATATCAATCTGTATACATTTTTTATATTTTAAATGAGGAAAATATAACATGTGTTATGGATGTGACAAAAAAGTCTGCAAGTTTACAGTATACAATATACTTTGTAGAAATTCTGTGAATTAAACTGCGCAACCCAAAAGAAACAATGCTAATCAAAAGGGTAAGAGTTGGATCACTTTAGAACAAACATGATTGATTTTATTTGATTTCACATTTTTGCATTTATGAGAAAAAAGTGTTTTTATGGATGTGACGAATGTGAAATTGCCACTTGTGTGACTTTGGTTAATCAAATATAATAGTTTGAAAACACTGACAGAGACATTTTTGAGTATTATAAAGCACTCTAAAATACAAGTCTAGACCTTATATATATATATATATATATATATATATATATATATATATATATATATATATATATATATATATATATATATAATGTGTATAATTTGCATATATATTTTATATCTAAATACAAATGAACATTTTCTTAAACATATGCATGCGTGTATTTATATACACATAATAAATGTACACAGTACACACACATCTCTTATGTCAAAACAAACTTTTATTTTTTTATCTATATTTATTCTTGCACAGCACTAAATTTTAACTCAAATATTAACTGTTTGTATTTTATGTCCTATTTTAACCTGTCACAAATGACTTTTTACTTGCAGTTGAAGAATTTATTAGCCTTAATGTCCCAAATATTTTTCCTCAACACTTTTTTAAACTAATTTCTATTAACTCATTTCATTTGTCTTGATGACAGTAGATAATATTTGACAAGATACAGCTTAAAGTGCCATTTTAAAGACTTAAGCTGCGGTCACACTTGACTTTTCTCCCCATAGACTTCCATTCAGACGCACGCGAATGCGTCAGACCGGAAACGCAGGGTCATGCATCAAGTTTCGCAGGTAGCTGCGGTGAAAGTTCAAGCTTGGTTAACTCTGACCTGCAAAATCGCATCACTTGTTGCCTGTGTGAGACCAATCGAAGATCGAAACATGACATCTCTGGACAGAAGTTTAAATTATGAAGCGATCGCTCACTTTTTTAATGTCTAATAATCTTGTTTAATCCCGCCCCTTTTCACATCGACGCACGACAGTATTTCGCATGCTCAAACTCTAATGTGACCGCAGCTTTAATTAGGTTAACTAGGCAAGTTAGACTAATCAGGGAGGTCATTAGACAAAAGTAGTTGGTTTTGTAGCCAATAAAAACTGAATAATTTCTGAAGCGAGCTAATAAATTGAATTAGGCTTCCATAGATTACAGACCAAGTGCCAATAGTCAGCAATACTACTGCTAATAGCAAACAGAAATAACAGAAATATTTCAAGCATAATATTTGTCAAAAATAGTGCAACTGTAATATTATAATAGAAATGTTTTTAAAAAACACATCAAAATATAATAGTTCTGATATAATTTATGAATGGATAGATGGACGAATGGATTAATGAGTAAGATGCATGAACGAGATAGATGGATGGGCGAATAAATAAATGGAAAGACATACAGATGGATGGCAAACGGTGAAATAGATGGACAGATAAATAAATGCATGTAAAAAATGATGGATGGATGGACAAAATATTATTGGGCTGATTGATGAACAGACGGATGGATAGAGGAATAAACGGATGGATTGATGGGTCAGCTGAAGCCATACGCTGAGCGTTTGTTCTTCTGTTCTACATGTTGGTAATGAGGAAAAGCAGCAGGCAGGCGTCTGTCAGCAGCTTTATTCTTCAGTTGGAAGTTGAAGACTGACACACAGAGAGATAAACACCTCCAACTGCTCTTCACTCATTCCACAAAGAGCTCTTTATCACAGTGCAAGAGTCAGAGAAAAACTCTTCAGACGCATGTGTGGGCCGAGAGAGAGACGCCGTCACTCATTTACTGTACAAAACACAAAAAACCCATCAGTCATTTACTGTATGCCACTCAAAGCCAGCTATAGGCTGAACAATGAGTCACCATCATCATCATCATCAAACAGGTGAAATCATGCTAATCACTATAATCACAGGCTTTTCTTCTCTCCCTAGAGTCAGGCTAGAGGGCAGAAGCGAGAATACCCCACACTGCCCACGCAGGAAGTGACATCCGAGGGGCCGTACGTAGGCCAACACTCGCAGGGTCTCGGAGGCCAGTACGCCGACTACTTCAAGAAGAAGAGAATCTAAGTGAAAACTCGCTCGCTGTACGTCGCCATTGTTGTCGTGTCCAGGCCTTAACTTGTAGTCTATAACTGATATTTATGAAAAGATTGTACATTGCATTGTGCGTATATGGAGGGTTATTCTCCGTCTTGAAGCGTATGTGGATCTGTTGTTGTTTCTGTCCCACACCAGGCAGGAACTCTCTAGCTTCTGTCCCAAATGACGCGATAATTGATAGTTTCTGTTTTGCCTTTATATGAACCATTCCACTCTAGAGGGGCGGGGGGGTCTGTGTTCGTGTGTTACTGTACAAACGGTTAAGGGCTGATAAAGATAGAGCTACACTCAGAGAAATAACCATTTACAAAAAAAAAAAAAAGAGAGAGAGAATAATAATACTACTAATAATAATTTTCTCTGACGAAGAGTAGGGCTTAGCCAATGTACATTGTATATTCTGGTATATGAGTGTATTTTTTACGCTGTACAGACATTATGAGACTATTCAGAATATTGCGTCTTGCTTTACCGTGTGATTATTTATCTGGACTATGGATTCCTGATCGCACATACTCGTCTCTGTACATACTGCTGTATCTGTAGGAAAGATCAGCCATTCTGAATACTGCAGGAGCCTTAAAACTCGGCGTTCGGAGAAGACATGGCTACGGCAATAACCTCTACCTTCTCTGGAGAATCTAACATCACCGCGCACTTCAAGGTGACTTTTTTTCCCCTCCCAGGTGTCGGTGGGGTGACTTTCCCCAAAACTTTCAGCTACAACGCTGCCAGTGGTTTGTTGCTAACAACAGTAAGAGTAATAATAATACATTACTATAGTAGTAATAATCATTTGCTGGATGGTCGTCAGGGGTTGAAGTGGTTATGTATAGGATAAAGCCCTGATGCACACACCCACATGGTAATAATCAAACATAATGCCTTTATATGGATATTAGTGCTCTGCTGTTTTGTGGTTTAATTTTTTTTTTTTACATCTTTAATTGGAGAATCTGCATTTTTGTGATTTTTACTCTGCAAAAAATCCAGTTTTTTAATCTATATCAGTTGCTGCCAAGATGTGCTTTATTATTGATACAAATACTGATGTATCTTGAATATGAGCGCTTTTATATTGCTGCGTGGCAGATTTGTTTAATCTTTCCACTTTATTTGTCTGAAGGCAAGTGTCAGAAATGTTCCAGTGGGATAAATGTAGTCTTAAAGGAGCAGTTCACCACGTTTCCAAATAACTTTTAAACCAAAAAGGGCTAGAAACTATTTTTTAAAATGTTCAAGTTGATTTTTCAAACTCATTTTAGACAGATTGTTTGATTTTTTATCTAAATTGTCATACAGTATTGTTCAAAATAATAGCAGTACAACGTGACTAACCAGTATATTTTTATTAATACATGGCAAACTAGTTATCAGTAGGGGGGTAGATTCTCCGAAAACAAACAAGACCCAGCATTGATCATTTGCATGCTCTTAAGTCTGTGCAATTAGACAATGAGTTAAAAGGGGTGTATTCAAAACAAAAATAGCAGTGTCTGCTGTTGACTGTACAGACGGAAAAATATTTTGTACAAACGTTTGTGTTTCTAGGATTTAGAAATCCTGTGAATCACTAAACTAATTTTTAGTTGTATGATCACAATTTTTTATAACTGCTTTACATCTGTGTAGAGTCATATGGTTAAAAAAAACAAAAAAAAAAGGATTATTCTGGTTAGTCACGTTGTACTGCTTTTATTATTAATAATAATGGGGGGGGGGGGGATCTCCTCATCTATCACTAGTGTGCAGCATCCACGCGACAGCAGCCATATTGCGCCCGGCGACGGCACACCACACACCAGCTGATTGGTGGAGAGGAGACAGTGAGGAAGCCAATTATGAAATGGCAATAGTTGGGAGGCCAGTGGGAAAATTTGCACAGGATGCCGGGTTTAAACTAAACCCCTACTCATTTTCAAGAAACATCCTGTGATTTTTAATGACCACGAGGGTCAGAACCTCGGTTTAATGTGTCATTCGAAAGACGGCGCTCACTGAGCAGTATAGAGTCCCCATCAACATACTGGGGCGTTAGGACCACCACAAACCTCAGGTTAAGCGCCCTCTGCTGGTCTCAATATTACCACTTCCGGCAGCAACCAACCTGGGTCTCCCATCCAGGTACTGCCCGGGCACAGTCCTGCTTAGCTTCAGTGGGCGACCATTTGATTGTTGCAGAGAGCTAGCTGCCAGCTATAATTTTGAATACTGTACGTCATCTACAAATAAAGAACGAGAATAAGCAAATGAATGTGTCCGAGCTGATTGGTCAAAGGTGATGAATCGTTACTAATAATTTGTTTTTCAGCTATTGAGTAAAATCCTCCTCAACTGTCTTTAGTTACACAATGTTTCAGTTAGTCTGATCCTCATTGCTATGCTTTGCTCATTTAGTTCCTGTTGTGCTTGGTCTCAATAATTGCTGCTTGCAGCTAGATTTGAAAGTAAGCTTTTATTTGTTTTTTGTTCAGATATCAGAATGCATTCATCATTTTTAATGAACATTTCCCTTTTGTTTTTATTTTAGTTAAAAATTCATCTGAATTAATTGGTAGTTGACATTTTATTGGTTTATCACATCATCCATTTTACTGCAATTAAAGATTTTTCAGCTTTGTATCGTTCACACAAAGCACATTCTTTATTTTGTGTAACAAGAGAATTGGTTATAAAAACCATCCTTTTTCACTGCATCGAGCTTCTAAGTTTAAAGCGCGTTTAAATACTACTAGTGGCAGATAATATAGTGATGAAGAACTGGATTTTTTGCAGTGCGCTGTGCAGTCTGCCAGCAGATTGTCTTATAAGGAGCTGTCGTTTGGCTTTGCTAGGCGTTTGCCTGGCATGTTCATCCGTTTATGATTAAGGCTGTGTGCCTTCTCTTTTTTCGACGCTTTTGAAGTGATTGTCTCTTGGTTATTCTCTCTCTGAAAGCCATTCTCTCACCTCCACAACAGACTGACAATACATTTGAGGAGGAGCCTCTCTTATTGCCTGCTATTTGTGTTCTGACAAGTATAAAGACAATCCCAAATTTACTTCAGTACCTGAGGCGCCGCGTCCCACTTTCAGCACAAAACCACCATTTATAAACACAGAGGCCTTTTTTTTTTTCGAGGGAACACTGAAACGTTAAATGTGAGCATTTTTACTTTAAATATACATATATACTTCTGTTTTTGTGCTCGAGTTCAGTTTGACCTGCACTGGTTGTTTCTAAATGATCCGCTCTAAGATGACTTTCTACAGGGATTATATAAAGCACTTGTACTTCTGTTCACCTTCCCATGAGTCTCCTCTCTCTCCTGTTCCTCAACTGCTCCAAATCGAGGCAACTTTTGACTCTTTTTACCTTGAACAGAGAGGATAGATGATTGTGTTATTTTTCTTGTAAAACTACATAATGACACTTTCAAATGTGTTACTACAGAATGGCGAATGATGGGAAACTGTGCCTATTTGTGGTTATGAACCTGGAATTTTTCTTTGTTGACGATCAACAACACTGGTGTTTCCCTTGTATTTGAAGTCAAGACTGTAATGTATCTTCAGTCATCGCGAGGTCACTTTTACCCCCACTGAATGTCATGAACGTGTATGTGTGTGTGCGCTTGTATCTCAAAGCTTTGCAATACTGAAGTGTCTCTTAATGATGTAGAAGATACAGTCGCCTGTTCAAACACGCAGGGTTATCCACACAGTTGTGCTTTGTACACATATCGCAGCCTGTTTGTTTGTTGTTGTTTTTTTAAGTTTACAAGATTGTAGTTTCTTTTTTTCCACCTTGAATTAAGATTTTGCAATATTTTATAATCCAAACTCTATTGATATTGCTTTACTGTGAATAAGCTATTTTTAGAAACAGTGGAATTTAAGCATGCGTATACTCCTGCAATACAAGAAAAAAATGTTTGTATTTTTTTTTTTTTAGTAGATGTTTCAACGCTTTTGAGTATTTAACAACAAAAAAATGATCATTGTATTTATTTTATGTGTATTTATGTACATTTTACCCTGTTGGGTACGATTCTGTTGTCTTTCTTTTTGATGAAAATAAGTTTGGGTTTAATTTTGAGCAGACGGAATTGTTTTGCATTCCATATTAAAGGACAGGAAAATCACGTCTGTTATCTTTCTTCCATCTTACTGTTCATTTGCAGGAACCCGAAAGGTCATTTCAATAACTTTTTACGACTTTTTAATAACTTTCTCAGAGTATTTTAAGAGCTCATCGTGACAGTCACTTCATTATCAAACCTTTACCTTAATAAACAGTTGTTAATACTTCAACTAATACTTAATATTTTCAGCAACAGGCTTCATCCACTGTTTAAACTCATCTTTCTCCAACCAGGAGTACGCAAACTTACATTTTCCCATTTTGCGTTTGTTTTGCTCTATGGTTTCGCTACATGTGGAGAGCTTGACATCCCCTTCCCGCATTTTTTGCAAATTATGTGACATCACACATTTGGACGAGCTTAATCAGACGTTGCCCGAACCAATCGCATGGATCAAGCACGCCGTTGTTAATATATGGGAACTACCAAACGACTTTACACGGGTTCAACCCTACAGTCTTTGGGTCAACTGTGCATACTGGTTGCCAAAAAAGACTGATCTATAGCAAACATGTCGTGTTGTGCGGTAGGATACCAAAACCAAAAATAGAAAACTTAACTTTTACCATACACCACACTGCTTTTAATGCCAACCGCAGACATCTTTGGCTAACAGCCATTCGAAGAGTGAGTGAGGATTTGCATGCTTAATTAAAAATGCTGAACTCTGCAGTTCTCACTTTATATTAGGTAGCCTAAGTTCACGCTATGCTGAATCATACACTATCGTTTGCAGCAAAGATTTCAGCAAACACATTTAAATATGGGTAATTAAACTGCGGACACTGAATGTAATGTAAATATGTAAGATCATGTACCCTGCGGTACAGGTGCAGTTCCCTGTCAGAATGCAGTTGTTTTGCTTGTTGGTTACCCAGGCCTTGTATAGCTCTTCTTTCCTTGTCTTTGGCTAGGCAGAATCTAGGTTTTTAGCACTAGTGTTGAATCTGGTAATCATAGAACATTAATTCCTGCACATGACCACACAAAGCAAAATTGTTGGCATCCAAAGACCTTTAACTTCTCTCTTGTAAAATCACTTGGAGTTTCATGAGACTGTATATTTCAGGCTGGATTCTTGGTCATGTCGTCTAATCCAATATTGGGAGGGTGCTATCATAAATGGACCTGTCAGATGAACGCCGCTCACTTTAACGTTATTTTTGCCAAATAACTGTGCTTATCAATGGGTGACGAGCTGTTGTAATACGCTGAAGCATTATATAAACAATATATATAATATGTAATCAATATAACCTATCTCTAATACAACAACTCTGTACCGCATCGGATGTCGTTCCCTCGCCATCGGATGTCGTCCCCACCTTTTTTGCACTTCTTCTACGAGTGATGTCACTGGGGGTATGGTTAGGGGTGGGGTTGGTGTACGCATTAAAACAGCTTACAGGAGGAGGAGCGACAGCTCATGCTCCCCCTCGCTGGAGCTCAACTCTGCTTAAATGGCTCTGCAGCGAGCACCCTCTCAATGAACTTGCTTTTAGAAATCCCAGAAGTCATTGCGACTGGAGACGGGAAGCGCAGATTTATTATTAAAGTTCAGAGATCTAACTTATGTTTATCTCTGGAGTGTCCCTAAATGAGACAGTGAAGTAGACATGAACATTTTTATAAAGGCAGAAACACATTAAGGGTGTTTATTTGCTGAAATTTGTATTAAAATCTATTTTATTTGTATTGTGCAACATATATTTGTAAAGTCTTTATGCATAGTATATATTGTGAAAAGGGCAAAACAATAAATTGTTGCATGAATGCTGTAATGTTTACATTTCAGTTAAAAATGTGTGAAGGTCATGTGTCCATCAAGAAGAACGCGGCATCTCATTCCTCACAGGACGCGCGGTCTGTCCTCGTGGTCTCCCGAGTATGTTTTTTTTTTTTTTTTTTTTTGAGGTGACCTGGCAAGACTGGTCTTCACAAGAACACAAGTCTGTTCTCTGCGTTCTTGGAATTGAGAAACAGCCACTGTCTTAACTCCACTGTGTCCATAATGGCGGCGCAGCGAACTTTAAAACGCATCCTTCACAATTCCTTCAGTGCTAAACCACATGGCACTTCCACCTGGGAGATGAATCATTTTCCCCGTTCAGGAACTGCGTGTGAGGATTAACCATAATCTGATAATCACACGGGAATTACTGCGTCTTTGAATATTTGGCTATATGAATAACGACTAATGCTTTTAAGCAGCATCACACACATATACTGATCCTCATAAACATCAGCATCCATCTTTGAAACATTAACAAATAAAGGAAACATGTTGCTAATTATATTTTAATTTCATTTTGATAAAAAAAAGAGAAACATAAAATACTAATATATTTCTGGACAAGGTTAATTCAGTTTCCGAAAGTTAGCAGAGCTTGGAATATAATTTGCACAAGAGAAGATGTATAATTTTGGGCCCCGCTTTATATTAAGAGTGCTTTACTACTATGTACTTACATCAAAATATAAACACAATGTACTTACATGTTCATAATGTGCAGCAGAACACTTCTGGTGTAACAACTTAACAACTTGAGGTGGGAGACAGGTAGGGTTAGAAATGGATTTGGTGGTATGAATAGGCTTAAGGGTGGGCTAAGGTTATGAACAGCTCTGCAGAGTTTTGCTCCAACCCTAATCAAACACAGCTGATGCAGCTAATCAAGAAGTTCCAGACTCTTCTGCTTGATTAATTGGATCAGCTGCGTTTGATTAGGGTTAGAGCAAAACTGTGCAGAGCTGCGGCCCTCCAGGAATTGAGTTTGATACCCATGTGTTTAAGGCAGGAGTGTCCAAACTCAGTCCTGGAGGGCCGGTGTTCTGACGATCTGTGCTACCACATCAGAATGTGCTAACGGTAGCTCAATCTGTTTTATTTCATCTAAAAAAACAGGGTTAGCACATCTTGTCCGCTTCATCAGAATGAACTACCTCTTTAAAGAAGGGTGTAAAAACAAGGGTACCGCATTTTGTCAGCAAATGTCAATCGGAATGAACTACCACTTTAATAAACAAATTAAATATAAAACGAATGAAATAAAAAAGGCAGTACTTCGCTCTGATAAACATTTAAAGCTGCTACGCCTTTTTCTAGATTGTTCAATAGAGTAGTAGTTGATTTCGATAGATATTTGAAGCTGACAATGTGCTACCCCTTTTTGTACATCCTTATTTAATGTGGTAGTTCATTCCGATGATGTGCTAACCCGGTTATGGTAGATGAAACATGACAGATTAAGCTACCGGTAGCACATTCTGATGAGGTAGCACAGCTCCTCAGAACACCGGTGTCTTGCAGATTTTGGCTCCATTTAGCCTCAACACACCTGCATGGATGTTTCGAGAAAGCCTAGTATATTAGGAGCTTGATTAGCTAGCCCAAGTGTGTCTGATTGGGGTTGGAACTAAACTTTGCGGAAAACCGGCCCTCTTGGGCCGAGTTTGGGCAACCCTGGTTTATCAGATGGTCAACAATGTATTTACAAATGTAACTGCATAATTTAATTACAGATGTAAAACATGCATGTATTTAATCAAATAGAAGTACACTGTGAAACATGTACTAATACAATAAGTAAATTGTAACAAATCTTTGATTTCAGTGCAAGTAAGAGCACTTAATATAAAGTGGGACCCGTTTTCTTATTCTTTTAGATATTTTATAAGCTCTACTGCCCTCTTGTGTTTACTTTAGGCATTTGATTAATTAATCCCTCATTCTCCTTGACGTAAACCGGTCCAAATGCAGTTCTCAGAATCATCCTATTCAGTTTTTCATGGCAATTACGAAGCCCAAAGAGGAAGTGGGGATATTCTAATGTTGCCATCTTGACCGGCGCATGCTGTTTTGAAAGTCCTCCGGTTAATCCATCCAGCACGTTCGGTATTTTCCGAGACGAACAGCTGTCTGCTTCAAGTCAGACAAACACACAGTCTTAGCATACTTTGCATGTCAATCGTCCTCCAAGGAAAACGCACAATCCACTCATCAAAGCTCCAAACCGTAAAGCGCTCATGCAAATGTACATTCTGACACGTTCCTCATCTTCCAGAAGAACAACAGTCTTCATTTGTCCTAATGCATGTGTTTTAAGATGGGCTGATTCCAGACAGCACATGCTGTAATGCACAATGGGAATTATGGGTTATTCATACATACATCATTGTGGCTGCTGAGGCACATTATGAAGAGGACCAGATTCTGGATTTCTTCTCTTGTTTTGTTTTGTTTTGTTTTTTGCATGGTTTTTGGTGCGCTTGAATCTGGACTGCATTTGAGTGTAAAGAGAAACATGAGCAACTGGCAGATATACATTTGCATATTCTTAAAGAGGCCGGACAGCACTTTAACTGACCGCTTCAGTGGTTCTAGCTGTTTCTTTTTTTTTTTTCTATTTTGCATGTTCTGCAGTTTATATATATTTATCGGAGTCTGTGAGGGATACGGTAAGAAGGAGAGTACATTTAAAAGAGTGCTACAATGCATGGTTACACTTTTTTTTGTTGCTGTGGAAAATAAAAGAGGTGGAGTCTGTGTCCCGTCATATTTCCATATAGTTACAGATTGTCAAGCATCTGCTGAAAGTTGGCAATCAGGCTTTTGAAGTCGATCCTTTTTTCGGGTGTTGCTTCCCAGCATCTCCTCATCAGGTTGTACAACTGTCAAAACACAAAGATAAGAATGAGACGTGCGCCCCGGAGCAGCACTCATACCTGCTGTTTAATCATCTATCCCTGCACTGTCAGAAAAGAAACGTCTGCGGTGCATCAAGCAGGAAAATATTTTACGGCAGTAATTCTCAACTTAGGGATGGTTGCAAGGATGCTGTAAAACTGTAAGTAATGTCATATTAAATTAAAAATAATAATAAATTTGAGAGTTAAAAAAATGTCTGCTGTGCATATATTTATATTATCTAGATGTAAAAGAAACAGAAATTATGTGCATTAAAATAATCATATGCACTTTATAAAATATATATAGGTCATTCACTAGATCACACTTTTTTGTCTATCAAATTATATTTGCAAACGTGATTTCCTTTTATTCATAGACATGGAAAAGATCTGCTTCAATATTTAAAATAACTTGAAAATAAAAATTTGATGAAAATAAAAATAAAATGGATGGAAATTCATAATCATAATTCTAAAAATGGTAATAAATAAATTTAGAGTGATTTCTGAAGAATCATGTGACTCTGAAGACTGGAGTAATGAAGCTGAACATTCATCCTTAAAATATTAAGTTGAATGATGAACTACTTGTGAACAGTTATTTTATAGTGCAACAACATTTCACAATTTGTAATGTATTTTGATGAAATAAATGCAGCCTTGGTGAGCAGGTGAAGCTTATTTTAAAACATTTAAAAATCCTACTGACCCCAAACATTTGACCAGTAGTGTATATAATAGGCATGGGCCAGTATAAGATTCTGACGGTATAATAACTTTGAAAGTATATCACGGTTTTACAGTATTGTGATTACTGCTCTAAAATATGGTCATTTTAAATATCTGGGTAAAAACAGCAACTTTTTTCACCCATTAAGCACAATACGTTTCATTTTAAGAAAGATTTAAAGTATTATGAAACAGTAAATATGTCAGGCTAAACAATTCAAATAAATCATTGACTTCTGCTGTCGGCATTATTTTCAAAAACACGGATTTCTTTACAGCTTAAAAAAGGCATCTTTGGAGAGCTTTCTTTTCTTTGGATATAAAGTACACTACACTGCTCAGTTTTGATGTGGATGGTCTTTTTCTGCAACTGCCCAAAAAAACTAAATAAAATAGTTGTAAAAAACTTATTATAGGAACAGTATAACAGAAAATTTTAATGGTTTCAAAATTGTGACTTTTCCAAACTGCGTTAAACATAATATAAGACTATCATATAATATATATAATGATTTAAAAAATAATAAATATTTTACAGGAATTTCAGAGGGAGTTAACTTGCACAAAGACTTCAAAAATCTTTCCCATCTGTACCCTAATGTCAGTTAAAGCGGTTACAAAATATCTGCAGAAGCAATCTTGTCAGTTAAAAATGCACTGACAGCTAATAAGGCTCCTTTGACTTCCATTCCAGTCTTGTGTAGGTGGAAACTCACTTCCTTAGAAATCTCTATCATTCATTGCTGAAAATCTCAAAGGTTAATACAAGCTATATAACATGATACTAATATGACGTGTGGCATTCACTACCATCAAAATGTTTGGGTCAAAAGTCTCCAATACTTACAAATCAAACAGCTTTCTAAATTAATATATTTATTCCTGTGATGCCGTCGCTGAACTTTTACTCTCAATACTTTATTCCTACATGTCACATCATCCTTTATATGAGAAATTATACACTTGGTATGATATATGCTTTTATGCAAGAAACATATTTCTTTCTTTTAATGTAGACATAACTGGATTATACACGATGTAGGTGATTATACAAGAAGTCTATCTTCAGTACAAAAAAGGCCTTCACTGACACTGACTACAATATCATTTTTAAGTCATAAAAGTTTAAAAAACTCAATACACTTCAGGGGTTTCCAATGAGTGTCCTATAAAGGGTCAAACTTTGTTCATCGGTCATTCATAAAGAATAAGTCAACCACTAATGGAACTTCTAGAGCTATAAAAAAGCAGGCAAAACAAAGTTTATACACTTTAAAAAAAAAGTATGTAATTTTAATGGTTAGAAAAATGTAATCACGCTACAATAAAAATCCATAACCTACTTAGCAAGTTTCCCTAATATATACGGTGAATAATGCTAAATTGACTTGACACTTCACTTTTGATGCCTTTTTGTTATTACTGTGGCTCCTTTTTCCTCATCAGTAATGTACATTAAAGTTTTGTTACATCTAATGTTTACAAAGACTATTTACTGCATTACTTTAATTGTATGTATGTTACCCTGATGGTGTTAAGTATTTGTGTGAACGACCATGAGCAGCTTCTCAAAGTAGTTTGTGATTCACCTTGGTTCATCATAAGCATATGCAGATGTTTGTACTTCAAAACCCAGTTGTATAATAATATAAATGTATGAAATACAGTAGTTCACCATAAAGTTTATGGTTTCTACAGTATTTTTAACAATAAAGTTTTGGCAACCACAGCTGACATTTTTTTACAGTGTATGGCTGCTGAAGATACACTGAGGTCTTATGAACCAAAGTTATTAGTTTGTGCAAGAAACTGTACATCAATTACAAGATTATTACCTTATATCCACAGCCTCATCAAATGGACCTGAGCATGTTCATAACAACTTGTAGGATTGTATGACTCTTGCCAAATTGCCAGCAGCCATTGATTTGCCTTTGATGAATCACCAAATGACCACAGATGAAATGTTTTAATGTTCTACTAAAAAAAAAGTCACCTACACTTTGAGCAAATATAAATTTGAGTGAACTATACCTTTAATAAAAGCTTTAAAGTTTTAAATTTAAAGTGTTTTTTATTAAATTACTTATTTAAAGGGCACCTATGAAGAAAATCAACTTTTGTAAGCTTCATGGACAGAACTGTGTGTAGGTATAGTCAACATATATATGTCCACAATCATTTTGGGGTGACATAAACACAATAAGTGTGTGTGTTTTTTTTTTTACATTTCCTGACGTAAAATAGGATTCAAATCCCCCCCCATTTTGAGGCCCACCACAATGAGACCAATGAGCCCAACAGCCGCATATTAACATGTCTCCATGTGGACTGAAATCAGGTTTATTTTGTATATGAACATAACGGACATCCATACAGTGTGACTCATTGTTGCAAAAAGGCTTGAATTAGTTCCACAACAAATACCTGCTGGGAAAGTTTTTACTGTAGTTAGAAAAATCTACCTAGTTTGTCACTGTGCTGTTTATCTATGCGAGACGCAGCAGGTGAAGGCTACATACTAAAGAGCAATACCGAGATATCACTATTACTCGTGGTAATGATGGGCAGAGAGAACCAGCTTATTTGCATTAAAGGCACAGGCAACAAAAACAGCTACTGCTCTAACAGATCAAATTTCCCATATTCAGAAAGGTATAATACATAATCTGATGGGTGTTTTGAACTAAAACTTTAAAGACACATTCTGGAGACAAATGACTTAAATTAAATCTTAAAAAGGAGTAAAATAGTTGCCCTTTAAATCTAACTGACTCTAAACTTGCATATACAGTATTTAGTTTTAGTAAACTGATGCATTACCTGCTCTGAGCAGTCATCTGGTCTTGGAAGTCTCTTTCCCTCCTCCAGGACTTTGACCAATCGGGTGACAGTCATTTGTCCATGTGTTGGACCAATCAACTTAAGGAACACCTGTGGGGGTGGAGCAAAATTAGGTCACTGGGCTGCTTTGCTATTAAGCTCAGAGGAATTAAACATCCATTCACGTCTCGTCTAGCAAGCTACCTTTAACCCTTTAATACATTGTGTGGGTGAAGAAACATCACATTGTGCACAGTATTGAATCTGACAAATGGCTCTGTACAAACATTTTCTCCACAAGCAGCACACAAGGGGAAAAAGGGAGGATTGCTGTGTAGACGTCTACCGCAGCCTTTGGGTAAGACATCTGCCACTGTGGGCACAGACTGGCACCATCTGCCATGTTCTCAGAGACTCACCAGCACCTCCTTAACAACGGCTTCTTTCAGCCTACAGAACTGACGCTGGCTTTCTAAAAAGCGCTCATTTCTGCATCACAACAAATCTTTATTACCCTCCTGCTGCTTATAATCAAAGGCTGAATTAGAAATGCAATCAGAAGTAAAATAGTTGCATAAGGAAAAATTTACATAAAGCATTTGCATAAAAATAATTGCACTAGTCTATCCTAAATGCAGCCTTGCTATTTTGTGGCATCATTGATATTTGTTGCATCGTTTTACATATTTCTTTTAAAATGTACATTTTTTTTTTCATTTGAATAATTTTTTTATGATTTTTATTGTGCTTTTTGTTTTTCTTTTTCATTCACAATCATAACAGTGGCTTTTACAGTGGCTTGTTTTATGGGTGGGCATAATTTAGATTTCAAATGTCTAATATGTTTTATTTATTTATTATTTTGTAATAAAAACAGTACTATAAACTCAAGTTGACTACTGATTAATAACTCAGATCAGTGGTTCTCCACTGATTTGGCCATGAACTCACATTTTCCTCTTGTCATTAACCTGTGACCAATTTTTGTTCTTTTTCTTTTTATAAATGACTCACTTTTCTTTATTTACACATAAATTAAAAGATCAATAGTAATATGTAGGCCTACAAGCAATCTGCACGTGCAGAAATCCACAGATTTTTTAGGCCATCATTGAGTCTATTTATTTACTTGTGTAAATGTGAGTACATTTATATTTATTCAGTTTTTAAATTAATTTCAGTATTAACCAATATGAAAGTATTTATTTGATTTATTTACAATATAGTTTGTAAAGTATTATTTTCTGTGTTTTAGTATATATACTACAAAAGACACTTGCTTTATTTACCAAATAAGTGGATCTAATTGGATTTGCATTGTAAACATCAAATAAAAGTTAAAAAGTTTTTTTTTTTATTATATTAAGTTTTTAGTTACGATACACCCAAAATAATTTACAAAATGCTCAGCAGAAATAGCAGAAAATGTCCGCAGATTCTGTCTGGCCCTAGTAATATGATAATAGTGCACTAGCAATCCCAAACTAGTTTCTTTTTATAAAATCAAATTTAAGAAAATGTTACCGTTTACATGTTATACCATGATTAAAAAAATAGGCTTCATGATGAGGTTGTAAACTGGTTAATTCTTTTGCTTTTTATTCATTATGAAGTGATGAACAGAGTGCGCCACCAGATTTGTGCATGCAACTGAAGAAAAGCAGGTCAGGTTTTTTTCAAGTTTTTACTTTTATTATGTACAGTAAGAGTCATTGTATTTCATAACAAATAACAAAAATGTTTTACACTTAATTTTACAGTGTAACAAGTCATTTAATTACTGAGTAAAACTAATTAAGGTAAGGGTTTGATTGTGGGAGTTTAGGATTAGTTGTATGTAATTATGCAGAACTAATTTTCATTACTATAGTATGTACATGAAATATGTGTAACAAGAACACCTTAAAATAATATATTACCAAAAAAGTTACATCAATTTACCAAACAAATGTGCCTGTGTTCATTTTATTGGTAACACTTTAGTTTTAAACAGTATAATTATGTTTTTACCTGGTAAGTCTACAATCTCACACTATTATATCAGATTTTTGATGGTACATACAAAACTTCATCATGTTTTCTGTGGAATAGACTCTGTAAAATGTTTTTTGATTGGTTATTAATAATCACATCAATAAAAATTAAAATGTTTGACTTTCCTCATTTCGTCCATTGAAAACGAGCTACACACTTGTGACTGACACATCCCATCTAAACTGGCCTTTAGGAGAATTTGTTTCTCTCACGCGCATGAATCACATTCGACTTAAATGTCAACAGCTTTCACACACTTCTTTCAAAATTTCAATCATGCATCCCAAAACACCCTGACCCACTTAAATTGAGAAATGATGATGTAAATGTTGAATTATAAATACTACATTTAAGTAATACTATAAATACTAAACACAATACTAACCATTTATTTTCCTAGAGCCCGCATTCAATTAAATAACTAAATTAAGAAACAATCTATAAAGACTTTCCAGACTGTGCTTGAACTGCTTTTTCTGAATTAAAATGAAAGAATAGATTTTAAACTTGTGATGGCCACAACGTGCTGTGCACAAGACCACAGGAAGTCCCATTTTTCATTTTAGGTTTTAAAATGGTATTAATGTGCGAAATACATCTACATAGAGTGTTCTTTTAGAAATTGTAATTGAGACAGAGCTAGAAACATCTGACTGTCAACTCACCGACATGGGGCTACATGAAGCATCACAGTACGTGAGGAGCTCATACATGGTCACTCCAAAAGACCAGACATCAGATGCCCTGTAGAACTTGCAGTGGATCAAACATTCTGGAGCATACCTAAGAAAATGAAAAAAAGAGGGAGAAAATCATTACAAAGTGGATTTCCCACATTATTCAATCATGGATGATGGTACATGACATCACCAATAGATCTGGCCCATATTAGATTTTCATATAATGTACTTGGTCATGATGAATGAGGCTTACCAGAACACTGGACTGTCCAGATCGTCTTTCACAGTGTAGTATCCCTCGTTATCCTTAATGCTTTTGGTCAGGCCGAAGTCTCCAATCTTTACCGTGCCTTCATTCTCCACCAGAACATTGCGGGCTGCCAGGTCTCTGTGGATGTAGTTGCGAGATCCCAGGTAGTCCATACCCTAAAGGTTTGAGGTCAGAAAAACAGCAGGGTTAAGCATAATGTTACACTGCAGGTCTGTGTTAAACACACAGACTCAGAAGGCAACAAAGGATCACTGTAAGCAGTGTTGTTTTTCTTGGAGTCCAAACACAAATCCATAAGAACAACAAGCAACCAGAGAAATAAAAGAAGAAATATATGAAAAGCAACTGCTGACAAAATACACATATTGAGAGAAGAAAATGGGAAAAAAGGGAAAAAACAAATAAATAATTAAAAGGCTACTTGATCATTAATATTTTTTTCTTCAGATTTATAATGTACAGCTTTTGATCAAAACATACATTTTAGATTTATTCTACAAACAATAAAGCCTTACATCTAGAGCATTTTAAAACATAAAATAAGATAAAAAAGTGCTTAAAATAACAAAAAATTTGGCATGTTTATATACACGTTTATATACATTTTAGATAACAAAATTACAATGGTTTAACTCGAAAAGACTTATATAAACAATATTTTGTGGAATAACCCTGATTATCAACATTTGTTATTTTGACCAACAGTCATTCTATAAAAGAAATTGTTTAAATGGTCATTTTTATGCATTACAAATTGGGGGAAAAAATCATCAGACATTTATAGAAGTTTTTTTTTCTTTTTATTAAAGGTTAAAGGTGCTGTATGAGTTTCTGACTTTTCTAAAGCATAAAAATACCATAATATGTTTGCAGACATTTAAGAAACATGTCAAGTGAACATTCTTGTTTATCTGAAAAACAATGCTGAAGTCAGATATTCTGCTGTAAAAATGTGTTTTCCGTGCTGGAACGCAGTCTTTGTTTTGGTAATTTTAACCTGTCCAATGCCAGTTTATCCAATTATATTTCAGCACCCCAGGTTGCCTTGTTGGAAAACAGCGTACTTCATTCATTCATTCAGAAAGGCTCTGAAAGCATGCGTCCATGACAAAAATGTGATCTCTGGTGGACAGCAGCAGACTCGGAAATCAGACGCAGATTCACAGTTCCACATGAGGTTATTAATTAGCAAATAATGAGGTGAGAAGGTTTTAAATGTAACCCCGTGTCCTAACACACTTCATGACGAGATGAGCAGTGATCAGCAAATTGGCTTTTTTAATACATTAATACATATTTAACCTCTTTAACATTATTAATTTTAATAAATGTGTTTAGGTCTAATGTTCAATTTTAAACAGTTTATTTTAGTTTCAAGATCAGAGGTGAACTATCTGCTGCTGCTTTCAGTATATGGCAATAAATGTCATGTAAGATGGCATTCAAACTCCCATTATTAGCATTTAACACTGAATAAAACACATGAGGTGTACCTGAGGTGATCATTGTCATAGTGTTCTGTTGTTCACCTGTGAGAAATAGAAGCTGTTTCTAATATACCAATTCGAGGTGTTGGTTAGGACAAAAAACTCCTTTTAATATGGAAAATATTCCTTCTATCAGGTGCCATTGCTTTTATTTAGAATATGATTTAAATCCGTTGCTCCTGTCCTCAATCTGGCAACCTGTGTCTGTGTTAGATTTGATCCAGGAGTGCAATACCTAACTCAACCACTGGGTGACAAAACTTACATACGGCACCTTTAATAAAGCTAACAAATCAAGTAAATAGATGGAAACTGATGATTTTAAGTCTGTATATATTTAAATACTCAAGTGTCGACAAATGAAGCATCACCTGGCAGATCTGCACAGAATAGTTGAGCAGAGTTTTAAGGTTTATGTGAGCCTTGTTTCTGGGGAGGTATTCCTTTAGACTGCCTGCAGGCAAAAACTCCATGATGAGCTTAATGGATCTCCCACCTTAAAACAAACACACGGACAGATTCGATCAAACTCGCTCAAGCGATTGGCACCACAAGCCATTACAGTATTAAATAATTGATGATGTTCAGAATTGTGGCTTACCCTCTTCATTGCAGATGCCCTTGTATTTGACGATATTCTCATGGTAAAGTTCTCTCAGGATGTGAATCTCACGCCACAGGTTATTGCTCTGCTCTTCGCGGTTCTCTGGCTTCAGAGACTTCACAGCCACTAGCTCTCCAGTCCGATCTCCACGTGGGTCATACCGGCACAACTCCACCTTCCCAAAATGACCCTGAAAACACAATGACGCACTTCAGTCCAACCTCAAGAAATATGGTCAGTGAAATGAGCAGTCTGTACAAACAAAATACACACACACACACACATCAATACCTCTCCAAGGTCTCGAATCTTCTTGAGGAACCTCTTCTCAAACACTGTCGGGTCCACTTCAAGCATGGGAACAGGCTGAATGGATGGATCTACAGAGAAAATATTTTAAAAAGGACATTTAATAAATGTTAAGAGTTTTTCAATCATGCTAACATACACAATGCAATGCTTTCTCCCTATCAATTATGATCAATTAAAACTAAATGAAACAACAAGTAGACTGAAGTTCACAATAAGCTATCATAATAACAGTTCTATTAGGGGCCATTAACATTTAGAAATTTAAAAGGTACAGTAGCAAAACAAATAATCAAAAATAATGTGGAAGTTGTCGTGGAAGACTTAACTAGTGAGCACAACTTCTAAAAAAAAAATAAATAACTATTTTTCTCCTTCAAAAGCACAGCATGTATTGAAACTCAAAACAAACCTTTCTGAACATTTGAAATTTTTTTAAATGTAAAAATTATAAAAGTTTCAACTGTGATTTTTGGTCAATTTTTATTGCATCTTTACTAAATTTAAATCTCAAGAACTGAATCTGAAATAGAATTTTAAATCTAACATTACACATTTATTTCATGTGTCTGCACTAACAAGTAATAATTTATTTTAAAATCTCTTACAAACTGAATCTGAACAGAAATTCCCTGTAACATTATACACATTTACAGTCATTTTTAATCATTGCGAAATAAAAGCAAAAAGTCAACTGCTTTGTATAATCTGACTCGATGCTTTAAATGTGAATGTCAAACCTTGACAATCAAGTTCCTCACATTTAGTAAAGATGACAGCAGTTTTCATGACTAGCCACAAGAGGCCAATATGGAGTATACAACTATTATATACCCAATTAAGAAAACTTGTTTGTTATGGTTGCTTAAATTCTTCTGGCAATCATGTAATAACTAATCTACAGTTTATCTCTGTCATCAGTATGTATATACAAACTCATGTTCCTTACTCTGTTTCTCCACCATAACAATGTCCCTGACGATGGCCCTGAAGAAGAGCCTCTGTCGGGGGTCGTAAGTCATGCAGTGGGTCATGAGTTTGGCCAGCTCATCACAGTCAGGGGTTGCCAACTGACACTGCGCTGCGTAAAACCTCTCCTTCTGCTCAGAGAGAAAAGTATATGATTTATCAGAATATGATCAGAAAGAAACAGCGTTAAGAATAGGGCTGCACATTGGTCAAAAATCCTGATTGGACCTAATTCTTATTCACAAACTCTCCATTTGATTTAATTTTGATAAAAATTTACCATTCAATAATTAAGCCATTATAACTTTAAGACCAAAGTTACTGAAATGAATTAATCTGAACTAATATTTTATTTCAGAATCATGGATACAGTAAAACAGAACCCAACTCTCTATTTCAGTAGCATGGAATTAGTCATAATATGAAACATTCCAAAGGTTTTAGAAGTCGAAAACCAAGGGCCCTTCTAATAATACATATAGATATATCATTAATAAAACAAAGAAAAATATTCAGCCAAGTACAGAGATTTTTTCCCTTGTACTTGTATCAATATTAATGGCATGAACTGAATTATTAGACAGTTGTCATTTTAAGACATAATACACAGACGATGTGTCCAAACTGCTTTAACATTAGACTTTTTTACTGTTTACAAGGAAACTTGGTAGTGGTGTAACGGATCACAAATCTCACGGTTCGTATCACATTATGGTTTTTTAGTCATGGATTGAACCATTTTTCGGATTAGCCAAAATGGTGAAAAGAAAAATTTAATTACAAAAAAAGTACTGCAAAAAAACTTTTGGTTTTAACAAGCAGAACTTAGAACCTGCAATATTATTACAAATAAAAAGAAGAAATAATCAGCTGAATCAAAAATAAATTGTAAAACATTCAGTAGTGTGAAAAATTCACTGTTACTGCTACTGTTGCTGATGACACTAAATGTAGAAATCTTACATTATAATTTGTACAACCCACATTTATTTTTAGTAATTTTTAGTAAATGATTCAGTAATTCACTCATAAATCTTCATGTTTTATTGTTAGATGGATCATTTTTGAAGAATTACTTGGTGGCATATTCTGATGGCTGGTTGTTGCCACCTACTGGTTAAATAATGCAACTGCTGCCTACAACTTTCATTTTTGAGCATAGTTAAATGCATATAGTGGTAATTTTAATCTTTACCATAAACATCAGTGGTTTTATCTAAACTATAAACTGTTATCCCACTACTTCTGTGTTATTTTACTGTTTGTAACTTCATAACTAACACAAAACAGATTTGAATTCAGCGATTCGAAGAATTTATAAACATTTTCAAATCACCATCATTTATAGTTTAGGTTGTGTGAAAGCCTAAATGCATACATGTGATTTGAACGACGCAGGAGGCGATCTCTCTGATCGTTACAAATTCAGAATCAATCTACCAGTAAAAAAAAAATTCTTAATCCGCATGTCACGAGTGTTCCAAACCATGAGTTGTAATCCGTATGAATCATGAATTAACCGTGATGCATTACACCGCTAATAATTAGCAATTTCAAATTATGTACACTGAAGTAGAAATAAGTCACAAAATGTAAGCAAATTCAGCTCTTTAAATTTTAGTGCTATGCTACAGAAAGGCCTCTGACAGTCTCTTTCACGTTTAATTTATTAACTTATCAAACATCCTAGCCTTTTCTTACATTAATCAATGTTTATTTGATACTTTAATGTATATAAGCAGCATTGTACTGAATTGGGTGTTAAAGATCAATTATACAGAACATTTTTTATATTAATTACATCGAAAAATCCATCTTTTGACATTTTTATATCGCACAGCTTTATGGCTTTCCCCCCGCATTACAGAATCTAGTGAAAAAAAATGACTGATGATGATTTTTTTTAGAACTTATAGTGAATAAATCACTGTTTTTATATAAAAAAAACAAGTAAACTATAAATTAAATAAGTGATTTGTTTTTGCCTAGCCCTAGCTAAAACATGCCTAACAGTGTATGTGAATGCTGTTACCTCAGTGAGTTTCTTATCTTTCAGAGGAATCTCTCCGTTGTAACATATCTCCCAAAGAGTTGTCCCGAAACTCCACTTATCAGCCGCTATGCTCAGATTAGCTGTGTCTTTCACACACTCTGGAGCAATCCAAGGAATCCTGTCCACACACTCTGTAGACACACACAAAACACACGGTCATGCATGATCAGCATGCTAGACTGGTTTCTACCCCTTTCCATCATTCAAGCATCACAACAGACTTTAGGAAGGGCATTATATTAAACAAATAACCCCTCATCTCAGTCCCTCTGTGTGCGCCTTTCCAAAAAAACACACAACCAGTCTTTCCTGTAACAGTCCCTGGCGCACAACAAACAGGGCGCTTTTTTGGTCTCTGAAGTGCTTGAGGGAGCTGAGCTGGATCTCGGCCAACAATTCCTGTCAGTGATCTAATCCGAGTAGTCCAATCTTTTTTCGCAGTTCAAACACGATGAATATATATATATAACTACACACACACACACACACACACACACACACACACACACACACACACACACACACACACACACACACACACACACACACACACACACACACACACACACACACACACACACACACACACACAGGGCTTTACATTAACACCCGCCAACCCGCCAAATGCGGGTATATTTTATCTGTGGCGGGTTAGACAGCCACCTCCACTAGTCATTTTGGCTTGTTGACAATAATTTTTAAATTGTAGTTTTCTTAAAAGCAGAGTTCGACAATAAGACTGGCTTAATATTCCCGCAAATGTGATCTTAGAATTGGAAAGCAGCATGACTGACAAATATAATTTTGTTCGTGCAGGCAAAAGAAAGCTGGTTGAATACAGAATATAATACAGAATATATAGAGGATAATCACTCGCGCCAACAGCTGATGTGCGTTTAAAATGCGTACGTGCTCCCGTTTCCTTGCTTAAAACAACATGCCTAGAAACACCACCGGTGTGATCAGTCCTTTTTCAAATATACTGGACAGTAAGTTATGTTCATGCACCCACAGTCCTGCAGTTTTCAAGAGCTCAAGATTGGTCTTTTTGTAAGCAGCAGTTGCTTTCGCTTTAACCCTTATTTAAACATGATATAGGATATTACCTTCAAATGTATGTGTGGTTAACTGGTGTCAACTATTTTTTCAAGAAATGTTTTGTTAAATAAAAAGTATAATATACAGCTGTATTTTGCTTGTTTGGACACATTATTTAAAATTTGCGGCTAAGAAATAATTATTTATTTATTGTTAAAGTGGTCAGAGATAAATTTGGTAAATCCTTTGAGCTCTGAAATGTCATGTGAAATAAAAACTAATTGTAATACAACACAGTGAGCATAAGCACATGGGTCATGGTTTCATAGAGCAAGCTCACAAAGAAACATACACAAAAAGTAAAATTAATCAGGAAGCATGTTGACATTCCACAAAATCTAAATCAAGTAATTTTAATATGTCAAAGTCATATTTATGCATATAAAATATATTTTCACAACAACAAAATTGTGGCGAGTGTAAAGGGCGAGTGGCTAATAATGTTGAAAAACCTACTAGCCACACTAGCAGGTGACCAAAAGAGTTAATGTCAAGCCCTATATATATATATATATATATATATATATATATATATATATATATATGTGTGTGTGTGTGTGTGTGTGTGTGTGTGTGTGTGTGTGTGTGTGTGTGTGTGTGTGTGTGTGTGTGTGTAAAACTTGCAGTAAGTGCACGTCACGATAAAATTCAACATTTTTAATTCAATTAAAATACAAAAATAATGCCCTAAAATTATTCTACCCCAAAATGTAATAGTACTGTAATAAGAATCCTTAATATAATAATTCCTAAATGAATAAGTATTTATTTATATATTTATTAAAATGTTTTAGCACATCAAAAATTGACAAAATTAAAAAAGCAAAATATACAACATTTATTTACAATATATAGCACAATTATTTACCTTTAATTTTAATGTAAATTTAAATTAATATTTAACTACATTTTATTTAAATAAATGCTATAATTATTGTAAGAAATAATAATACATTTATAAACCATTACAATAACCAAAACAAAAACGGTTGTTTAATATGTTTAGTGCCATGTGTAAAATCTAAATAATCAGATGCATCAAGTGGTCTTGGTGCTCATATATGAGAATTGACGATGTATTAAATCACAATGTCTATAAAGACATAAATAACACTTTAATAAAGTGGCGTTATGAAAGGGCGTTCCTCCTTGAAAGCTTTGATGAGTTCCTTTATAATTGAAAAAGTCTTGTTGATAAGTACCATAAATCCTGTATGAAAGTTTATAGTATATTTATTGGGTGGTCCTAATGAATATATCACCTTCTCTGCTGAGGACAGTAATGGGTATCCCGGGGTCACTCAGCTTGATGAAGGGTCCTCCTTCTCCATCTAAACCATCTCGAGCTACCAGAATGTTCTTACTGCACACATATCCATGGACCATCTTCTTATCCTCCTGCAGGACACAAACAGCAGACAAACACTAACATTATTCATGGATAACAACTGCGCCAATTTGAAAAATTGTTTTTTAAACCTGTACCTACCTTACATAAGCCTTCAAAATACATTCTGACATGATGATTTGGTGCTAAATGGTGCAATGTATTTAGCATTCTAAGATGAATATAAAGTAAAACTTGTGTAACATTGTTATATATGCATTTACTTTCACATCTGATCAGTTTACAATATGAACAAATTTACCGGCCATAACTGTTTAAAAAAAATTACAGGGCATTTAATTGCATGTATGTATGCATGCATGTATGATTCAGATAGGTTTAGGTTTATAAGGTTATATATATATATCTTTTTTTTTTTTTCAAAAAGGCTAAACAAATTGGGGGGAAATTTTATTGCAATTACTTATAGTATATTTTTATTAGTAGTAATAGTATTTATTTAATTAGATTAAATGAAATAAATGAAAGAAATTACTAAAATGTTACTGTAACAATATTGTTGAATAATTTAAATGATTTCAATGCTTTTAAAAGTTACTTAATAATTTTACTTATATTAATGTTTAATATTAAATTATATTATATAATATTATAATAAATTATATTCATTATATTATATCACATTATATTATATCAGATTAAACTATACTATATTATATTAAATCACATTGTATTATATTATATCACATTGTATCACATTGTATTATATTATATTATATTATATTATATTATATTATATTATATTATATTATATTATATTATTTTATATTATTTTATATTATATTATATTATATGTCCTTATTTGCCTACATACGATCGCATAGTTTTCCCATGAGAATATTCTAGTCCTACATTTGACATGTCCCACACATTTCACATGTGATTTTAACTTGTGATTGCAAAATATGTATCTCACGTGAAGCTCATGTGTGATTTCTGCAATCCATAGCTTTCATTTCAGAAACAGGGAAACTTCTCTTTTAAAATGCTTAATTTTTTTCTATTACATACACCTCCAACACCAGATTTTGTTTGCATTTAGCACTTTGAGAAATGTTGATTTTAGCCTGTTCATTCCATTATTAGTAAAGCATCAGTAAGGTTGTGTGCATTTTTTTTACCAGATAGCTGAGGGCACTGGCTAACTGCTTGGCAACCTGGAACTTCCATGCAGTGCTCAGAGGTGTGGTCTGCCTGCGCATGAACAGATCCAAAGGGCCGTACTGAACAAACTCCTCCACCATGATATCTGCCGGGAAAGAGACGCATGTTCTTTCATGTAAATGAGCACCGTTATCAAATCTCCTTCCTCTCTGACATACAAACACGGTTCCAGCTCACATATGCAAATAGCTGTGGGCAAACACCTAGACACACCCATTGCGTGTGCAGGAGCGGTTATCCTCAGAGTATTAATCCGTGCTGCTCAGCGAAGCAGGAACTGGAGCTTGCTTTTAAATACCTAACCTGAAGGCTTTTCTCAACAATCAAATGTAGCTCTATGTTGCTGTTTCCTGCTCACCAAAAAGCATTTCATGTCACGGAAGATTAAAACAAAGGCTTTCCCTGTTAGACTGATGTGTGGGAATACCATCTTCTTTATCATGCAAGCTACGATTTATTGCTAGATTTTTTTGTCTGTGATTTTGAGCAACAGGGAAATGTTTTCTTTTCGAAATGATAACTCAAGTGTGTCAGATCAACACGCTCAGCTGGAGAATGACAATTGGTCTATGATCTCTTTGTAGATTAATAAATTACTAACGCATCAGTGACTGTTGCTTACAATTCAGCAAACGGAGTAAAAGAATCATGACCTATTTCTCACACTTGCCATAAAAAACTCCAGAGACTGAATAGAATAAAAGAAAAGCAAATGTTCTAGTCGTTTCATTCGGTGCAGTCTTTAAGGGCCCTGACACATCAGAAGAAAAAGCAATAAAAGCTGACTATGTTAGCTAAAAAGCTAGATAGTTCTGCATGAACATAACGCAAAGGCGACAGCAAAGTTAGCACCTTTGTGAGAGGAACTAGCTGTCTACATCAACATGTTTTTTAAGTCTATATTTATATTTCATACAGAAAAAGGGAAATCAAAACTAGGAATGAATATTTATAAACTATAAACTAGGAGGCGCTTGCTTACCGTTTTAAAACGACTAATGTTTTGCACTTTCATTGAAGCACTTGTATTGTTATGAATATATTCACACATTGAAAAATGATTAGTGTGCAGAACATACAGCAAAAAAACTCACCAGCCAATGCTTACTGATGACCCAATAGGCACCTGATAGCTTGGTGTGAGTGTCAATTAGTTATAAAAGGACATCCATTTGTTGTTAATATCACTAAATGTAACATCTACCATATTCAGAATCACTTAACAGAATAAAAAGGCCAATAGTTCTACACACAACAACTACTTGTCTTCAAAGTAGGGTACTTACTCTCCTGGTGACGCACACACACTCCGTAGAGCAGGGCGATGTGTTTGTGAGAGATCTGACGCATCATGCTAGCGGTCTCAAAGAATGCCTGAGAACAAGGTAAACAGATATACGTTTATATCTTTAAAAAGACACACAGATAAAGAGAATTCTAGCACAGTGAAAACTAAATTTAAATTCACACCCCTAGCCACAATTACAGTGTTTGGTAACACTTTAGTTTAGGTCACAATTCATGGTATTAGCTACTGGCTTATTACTGTTAAGATGGTTGTTGCAGTACGGACTGTATCGTGTAAAACGAGTTGTTGACGTTAACGAGCCGGAGAGTACTGATCTTATGTGTTGTGTTAATAAACAAAGTTACGCAACTATAACAGCGTTAACCGTCCATTCTATTTGAAATAAATGATAGGATAAAACAATTACTAAGCCCATACATATATTTCCACAAAATTCAAAGTATTTAATTACTTATGTAAATGTAAATAAATATATTACTACCTGACAAAAAGTCTTGTCAATTATCCAAGTTTTAGGAACAACAAATAATAACTTGAATTCTAGTTGATCATTTGGTATCAGAAGTAGCTTATATGAAAGGCAAAGGCCTCTAGATTACACTTATTTGACCAAAATAAAATATGACCATGCCTTGATTTTTAATTATTTCATTAGGACAGTAAGGTTTGACTTTGCGTAGACAAAAGTCTTGTCACATAACAGAAATAATGTACAGTATAGAATATAAAGTCATAGTGCAGTGGAAAAAAATGAATATTGTGTATGACTCCCATGAGCCTTGAGGACTGCATCCATACATCTTTGCAATGACTCATTAATAAAGTCATCTGGAATGGCAAAAAAAGCCTTCTTGCAGTTCATCAAGAATATTTAGATTCATCTTCAACGACTCCGTCTTACCCCAGACATGCTCAATAATGTTTATATTTGGTGACTGGGCTGGATTTCAGGAATTTTGATGTGGAGGCTGAAGTATGAGAAGAAGCTCTTTCATGCTGAAGAATTTGCCCTCTCCTGTGGTTTGTAATGTAATGGGCAGTGCAAATGTCTTGATGCCTCGGGCTGTTGATGTTGCCATCCAATCTGCAGATCTCTCGCATGCCCCTATACTGAAATGTAACCCAAACCAAAATTTTTCCTTCACCAAACTTGACTGATTTTTGTGACAATCTTAGGTCCATGCAGGTTCCAATAGGTCTTCGGCAGTATTTGTGATGATCGGGATGCAGTTCAACAGAAATCTACTTTCTGCCACTCTTCCAAATGATCAACTAGAAGTCAAGTTAATATTTGTTGGTCTTACAACAAATAATTCTGTGCAAAAACTACAAAAAATATCCACAGATTCTCTCTGGCCCTGTTTATTGCTTGCCTATTATTAGGACACTGTATTAACGGTTTATTACTAGCTATAATAAAATAACTCCTTATTACTGGACATTGCTAGCTTTGTTAAAGGTCTGTTAATAGCATGAATTGTGATTTAAAGTAAAGTGTAAAGAATATAACTCAGGCATTTTTCATTATTCAACATAATAAAATGAATGCAAAACGTGTTTACATTTATATTTGTGTTGAATAGGACTTTATATTTATATTTAATATTCTTTAAATTTGATATATAAAATGCATACGGAGAGTGACTGTCACTACAACATGTTTGTTTTATTTCATTTTTTCTTTTCTGAATAGTTCTAAAATTATGTTTTTTTTTCTGTTGTAGAATGAGTTGTAGTGAAACACATCTCTAATGTTTACAAATGTCTTGTTTTGTTTAGAGATAGCTGTCTAATCTTTTTTTTATGATAAAACAGGCACTTTTATCCAAAACTTGCAAAAAATAAAAATAAATAAACAAGTCAGAAATAAAATATCACAATCTCTGAAAACGATCATCTTGTTTGGTCGTGACAAGGTTTTGTATTTCTAGATGCTCTTCTTACCAGAGAAATATCTCTATGTCCTGAGCCCAGCACCTTCAAAACCACTTTCACCTCCTGCGAGTATCCTCCCAGATCATCTTCATCATCACTCTTCGGCTTCAGAATACCAGCATAGATGTTTGTCCTTGTGCCTCGACCCAAATGTTCACCCTAAATAAGACAACGTCACATACAAGATAAGATGGGGGACAATATCTCTAAAAGTATAGGTGACTATTTAAAGGGACAGTTCATCCAAAAATGAAAGTTAAATCCTCATTTATTGACCCTTATGCGTGTTCAAAACAGTTTCTTTATTTCTCTTAAACACAAAAAAGAAGATATTCTGAAGAAAGCTGAAATCCTGTAACCATTGAAATTCATAGTAGGAAAAACAAATACCATGGAAGTACATTTTTCCAGGTTCCCAGCTTTCTTCAAAATGCATTTTTTTGTGTTCAACAGAAGAAAGAAACTCAAATAGGTTGTAAACAAGTGAAGGGTGAGTAAATATTGACAAATTTTTCAGTTTTGGGAGAACCATCCCTTTATTGGGCATTTCAAGGACAGACACTGCATAATTACTTACAGTGAAATTTCCTCATATTTTACTTGGAATAGACAGTTAAATTTGGATAGTATGAGTGATTAAAATCAAACTGGCTGCAGTAAAGAAAACATTAAACACAACACACATTATCATTGTTTGTTTGTGGTCAATACTTTTGAAAGAAGTCTCTTATATGTCCCAAAGCTGCATTAATTCAAGCAAAAGCTAAAAATAGTCACTTTATTAAATTTAAAACAAATGTTTTCTATATTCATAGATTTTTAAATGTGGCTCATTTTGGTGATGACAAAAGAGAATTTTGATCTTGCATAAATTATTTTAATACTGCATGCTGACTTGCAGCTCAAGAAACATTTCTTATTGTCAACAACGATGAAAATAGTCTGATTATTTAAAATTGTAAATCGCTTTTTCAGGATTACTTAAATAAATTGAAAGTTCAAAAGATCTGCATTTCAAACTAGAAGTTGATAACAAATGTTTATCACTTTTAAACAGTGTTCTTCAAGTGTTCATTAAAAGTAGAATAATTTAATTTATTGAGATAAATTGTTTTCAAACACTAATGTTATATTATATGTGCTATACATTTAAATACAACAATAAAACCAGTGTAATGGGGAGCAAAAAAATGACAAGTATATAATAGCATCAATGATTGCCATGCTAAAATGACTTTGAAAACATCAAACTCCATAAAAGTATCACCTGTACAATCTCCTCTTTAAGAATGCGGTCGAAACTCAGCTGGCTGACTTGAGTTTTTTTCTGCGGGACAGGCTCTCGGTCTGTGGTCATCACTAATAGGTTAGAAATTTCTGCAGGACAAAAAAAGCAGAATTTGTAATTAATGAGTAACATACAAAACACATCTATTAGCAGAATAAGAATTGGTAGTTTGAATGGACTCTCTGTGTGTTTGTAGACTTGTGATGAAGGTTAATTTAAGGCTTAATCTTTTTAATTAAGTGATTGTTCTCCCAAAAAACAAAAATTGACTAACTATTACAAATCTTTATGACTTTTTTTCTTCTGTTGAAGACAAAAGAATATATTCTGAAGAAAGTTGCAAACCTGTGACCGCTGACTTCAACAGAAAAAACAAATATTATGGAAGTCAACGTTTACCAGTTTCAAGCTTTCTTCAGAAAATCTTCCATTGTGTGCAACAGGTAAAAAAAAGTCAAACTCGAAAAAACTAAGTTGAAATAAGTGATGAAAGAGTAAATAATGACATTTGTTCTAAATTTTTGGGTGAACCATTTCTTTAAACCTTGTAAATAAAGACTTTTTATTTTTTTCCACAATTTGTTCAATTGCCTTGGACTGACAAGCTTTTTGATTATATAAAAGCATCAAGCAACTACCATATATTGTTTGTACCCCTGTAGCACCTTCTGCATCTTTTTTGGATATACACTAAATATCTTGATTTTCTAGAAAAGTTCATTTTGAATATATCTAAAACCTTAAAGAGACCATTCACAATATGTATGTATGGTACTTTGACTTTATTTATTCTGTTGAAGTCAAAGGAAGAAAAAAAAACATTGACTTTCAAAGAAAAAAGAAAAAAAAAAGATTATGGAAGTCAATGGTTACCATTTTCAACAGAAAAAAAACAAGCCAAACAAACTCAAAAAAGAAAGTTGAAAGAAATAATAGGTGATAGAGTTTTTTTTCATTTTTGGAGTAAATCCTCCTATTAAACCCATGTAAATAAATATCTTGACTGTCTAGAGATGTTTATTTTGAATAGATCTACAGCTTTAAAGAGATAGTTCATCAAAAAAAATGAATTAATAAATGTTCCAAACCAATTTGCCTTTCTTCATTTTGTTGAACAGAAGATTTTGAAGAAGGTTAAAAACCTGTAACCTTTGACTTCCATAGTAGCTATTTGTTCTCCCACCTATGTGAAAGTCAGTGGTTACAGGTTTCCAGCTTTCTTCAAAATATGTTATGTTGTGTTCATCAGAATAAAGAAACTTCTAAAAGGTTTGGAACATCTTAAAGGCGAGTACATTTTCATTTTTGGGTGAACTATCACTTTAAGTGTAGATGCGCAGAAATGGTAACAACCCCCACATATACTGAGAACAGGGAAGAGGAAGTCATGCAGTAATGCAGTACATAGTTCAACAAAGCATGTTACTAACTAGACAAAAACATTGAGAATTTAGTGATTTATGTGTGCAGAATTTACAATTTCTTTTATATCAGTAGATGCGTGTTGTGATCTTCATTCTGCAGCATCAGCTGGTCTTTTGTCTACTTGCTGACATCACCTGGATACAGACCTACACAGCACTGTTTTTATACATCTATGTAGATCGAACAGATTAAGAGATATGAACAACGGAAAACCGCATTTACTATTTCCTGCCCGCCACTGATGCCTCAGCATGTACTCTTAGAAGACTAGATGTAAACAAGAGCATATTCACGTCACTTGTGTGCTTTCACAAAGAAAACAAACGCATTCCTGATGTTTAATCTTGCGTTAATATAAGATTTTTGCATAACTGCTAATACTAAAAACGCTGGAGGAAGAAAAAAAAATACTCCCTCAGGATTTATATGCACCGAAATAACCAAAAAATCCTAATTAACTACAATATTATCTCTCATCTTGAAACAAAAACATTTCCTGTGACCCTGTTTGAGTAAAGAGGGAAACTAGCTCACTGAAATCACAATAAAAACACTAATCTTGTCATTTATCCATCGGCAACTGGCAGATGTGATGAAAAAGTTTGTTTTAGACTCCGCATTCTCATTGGCATGCAGATACGCGTGTAAATCTCTCTCATGAAAATGTAACTCGGTCAGCATGGGGATCTAACTGACTGTTAGCTGGATAAAGGATCCGGAATTGTCTGAAAAATGAGACTGAACAATTACTATCTGCCAGCCACACAGCTGCCGGGGTCATGCGAGGATATGACATGTGCGTGCATGCTGATGTTGTTTACTTCTCCAAAGAGCAATGACACTAGAAACACCAATAAAGTGATAGAAAAAACTCCTCTGTCTGCTTAAACCAAACAAAACTCTTAATGATGTTTGTAAAGATTTGTTTACCTTAAATATAGACGCATTTTCATCAACACAATCATAACCCAATGGTGCTAAATACAGGTGTAAATGGGGTCTAAAATGTTGAGAGCTGTTAACTTCCAAAAGCAGTCGAAAACGCATTCGACCAAATTGCTTTGAGAGTGAAAATATACACAGCTACTGTCATTTCCCTCATTACTCCTCCTTGTGTTGTTTCGAAATTACTTTACTTCCGTAAAACTCCAAATGATCACTTCTAAAGAATTTTTTGCAGCAGTTAGCAGACAGAGCCGATGAGTTACTTTGTGTGGACTTGCGACATTCAAAGCCCTCTGAAGCCTAGGAGTAGGCCTGTGCTTACCAATAATTACCAACACAAAACACAGTCCAATTAATTACTTCATTAAGGTACATTAATTCCTGATAATCCTAATTACTTAACCAGGTCACTTACTCAGAGCAGTGATGCAACTGATTTTATTATGCTTCCTAGTCTAGTTACACTACCAGCCCTTATTTACATTCATATTCTTGCACTTTAGATCTAATTGTCACCTGAAATTTCAACAGCTGCTCTATGTAGCAATTACAAAATGACAAAAAAAGGCTAGTAAACAAATTTAAATAGCGAACTTGACAAACCACAATATCATGACTGTTCAGAGTTTCCAAACATCCCCATTAAAACAAAACACTGATCCATTCAATAAATGGGAAGATCCATTGAATGCTTGAAAATCCTGACAATTCATTTACTGTATTTGCTGAAAAAGCGATGACTTCCAATTTCACTTTCATTCTGAGAGAGAATGATTCACCTAAAACCATGTGTCATGACTGCAGTGCATAACTGGTTCCAATAAGAACATTTCAGGGGATTTTCTTTGTGAAAATCTAAAGCTATTAGAACAGGCCACGTTTAAAAACACCTTTATACTACAGATGCAATGAAAAAAGAGGAACTTTATTCCACTCTCCCTGCAAAAATAAAGCTAACTAGTAAAAATTAACATGAATGAATGAATGAATGAAAATTAACACTAATAAATGGAGAGATGAATAAATAAACATTGGTACTAATGAACGGATGAATTAATGAGCATTGACACTAATGAGTGGACAGATGAATCAATGAATGAACTAACAAACTGACAGATGAATGAATGAATGACTGACTGACTGAATGAACATTGACACTAATGAATGGACAGATGAATGAATGAATGAATGAATGAATGAACATTGACACTAATAAATGGACAGATGTATGAGTGAATAAATGAATGAATATTGACACTAATGAACGAACAAACGAACAGCAGTTATGGTAGTATAGATAAACAGGCTAGATTGATAAATGGAGGTGACAGAGGGATGAATATAAATGGATGGATGACAGTGATGGATGGATGGATAGATGAGAGTGACGGATGGATGGATGGATGGATGGATAGATAGATGATGGTGACGGATAGATGGATGGATAGATGAGAGTGACCGATGGATGGATAGATGGATAAGAGTGGCGGATGGATAGATGAATAAATGACAGTGGTGGATGACTGGATGGATGAAAGTGACAGATCGATGAATAGATTGATGGATGGATGAAAGTGACAGATAGATAACAGTGATAAATGGACATATAAGAAAAATGGATGGGTAGATTCATTAGTCACGGATAGATGAATGAACTAAATAGTGCAATTTACAGACTGATTATTTGCATTATCCAATGACAATGTATAATACTGTCTATTATCCAAATTAAACATCCCTAGATAATCAAACCAGGATGGATGAGTGAATTAAAAATAATGGATGCAATGTCCACTATGAAAGAGGGATCTAAATGTATAGATTATTTGCGTTACTCAATGCACAAAATATAATTTACCAAGCGGACGATCAAGCAGAAAGAATATCTGTACCTCTGGGTTGTGGTGGGCAGCAGCGGCGCAGCTGGAAGCGCAGATTGTCGGTGCGCAGTAACTGGCCCTGCAGGTGCTCCAGCAGCTCCTTCAGAGTGGGTCTGAATGTGTCTGTCCCATACAGTCTGTAGCCCTGAGGGCTCGTTTCAATCTGGAAGTTCTTATACTGGGGAACTGGTCTGGATTCACACAGGTCGAGCTAAATAAGCACAAGCAAAAACAATTAAGCACAAAAAGAAATAAAGACAATGGAAATAGCACATGAGTACAATGGTGAATGGAAAAGAACAGAATTTGTTAAACAAATGTTAGGTGGCCATAAACAGATATCCTCTAACTGACTCTTGGTTGGCAGAGAGGTTTTAGGTTTGCAACATTGTACACTGTGTTGATAATATTTATAAATGTATGGAAAGCCTTTACTATTTATAATGACATGCGTATCCTTCATTTATGCATTAAACAAGCTCATACACATTCTGTTAGTAAAACTCAAATCTGCTTGTTATGAATTATAAAACAAGGGAATTGTTTCTGGAAAAAAAGAAAACAGTACATCAGTCTCTGATCAGGTATGTGTAACAAATCCAACGTAGTTTTCTCACAGATTGAATGACATGGTATTCTGTCAGTTGTTTACATTATAAACTGGAATGTTAATGCACATATCCTTGACATTGAGCAATATGCCCATTTAATCAGACTGCTTGTATAGTTGCTGGCTTGTTTGCATGTATACAGTGGACCCTCACTATAACGCAGTTCACCTTTCACAGCCTCGCAGTTTTGCAGATTTTTTTTCTGCAATTTGACATGTTTTTTACAGCACATTGTGTTCTGTGTCTTGATTGGCTGCAGATCATTGTCAATCAATCTCCTCCGGGTCTCCTGTACAGTACTGAATGCGTTCAGCTTGCCAAATTAACATAAATCTTCTATCAATAGTGGTGTGAGTTTCAACAAGGATGCAAAAAGGGTTGTAACAGTCCGCAGCAAGACCACTGTAAAGGTGGTAGCATAGCAGATGTGTCACACCACAACTCACCAATCGTTTTAAAATTATAAACATGGGTTTTTATCAAGGTACGCAAATCGGCGCCATAAGTCAGCAACTGTCATATTTGACAGGACACTGTTCATATTTCTGCCATGCCACCTGAATAATTTCCTTTTAAACAACATGCAAATGTGCACGTCCTACTTCCAAATGTCATGTGCGCAGTGCATCCGTTGTGAGACCCCATTAAGGATGGAGTCTGCTTTAGCTTTGTGGATCAGTGACTGCAAGAAAAAGAACATTACACTGGATGCAAACATTATCTGTACAAAAGCTGAAAAGCTTTATGAACCTTTTGCTGACAGCGATGAATGGTTGCAACAGGTTTTGATCTTTGGTTTCATTCTATAATACTGGACTTATTTTTCTATGAAGGTTTGAACTTTGTGAGTGTTTAAACAAGAAAAAAAAGTGTGAAAATGTTATTGTCTGTCTAAGAAAAGTGTATAGGGTGTCTAGTGAGGGGTTTTACAGCCTTAAAACATCTATAATAATTGTAAAAAATGAAGAAGACTACACTGATTTCTCCTATTGCGGGTTATGTTTAGAACATAACTCCCCAGATTAATGAGGGACCACTGTATTTTAGTTTTTTTGGTGTGTGTGTGTGTGTGTGTGTGTGTGTGTGTGTGTAAGTATGTTTGTATTCTATTACTGTGTGAGCCTAATTTATTACAAAGAGTTACACTTAGGTTTAACTGTGCCGCTGTACAACGACAATTGTTTGATTTTTTGCGATTCAGATGTCATCTCTAATCTGGGTCAAAATCTTATTCAAAGCTACAACAAAAGGCAAGATACTAATTGTTATTCACAGTGAACCTTTAGAAGTGCTTTCATACTGATTCACTGCCAAAATGGGGTTTTGCACTACTTGACAGATAATCAGGGTGATTTACCACACAAACTACTTGTCATGGTCAGGAAAAGTGTAGTATAAAAACCAGATTTTCTTGATTGCCTACAAAGAATACCACAAGAGAATCTGGGCAATTCAAGACTTGTCCAGACCATGGAAGACATGTATGACAGATTTTCGAATCCCACTTTATGGATTCCACAGAAACGTTTACGCCAACTGTGCTTATCACTGACTTATGGGAGGAAGGGGAGGGGGGTACCTCAATGCAGACAACCGTCATGATAATAAAGTTGTATTCTGTGCAGCTCCAGCGCAGCACATAGGTTCCTTCTTCATTTCCCTCCTGTCGAAGTTTATGAATGGCATACTCTGTGCTGTAGAGACAACCGACAAAATCAGTATCAAAATGAATCTTTAAAGCAGTTGTTGTAATACACTTTTTAGGTGTGTTAAAGTCTAATACAGGGCAAAAAGGAACGGTAATAAACTGTTAAAACAATATGACTCCACAGTCTACATACGAGTTAATATAGTGATGTTTCTAAAATGTTTGACTATTATTAAACAGGGTTTGATGACTTGTGATATAGACTACCTGACAAAAGTCTTGTCGCCCATCCAGGTTTTAGGAACAACAAATAATAACTTAACTTCTATTTGATGATTTGGTATCAGAATTGGCTTGTACAAAAGCCAAACACTTCTAGATTACGCTTATTTTACCTAAAAAAACATGATCATGCCTTGATATTTAATTATTTAATTAGGACAGTAATGTTTGACTTTGCTTAGACAAAAGTGTTGTCACTTAACTAAAATAATGTACAGTATAGAATATAAAGTCATAGTGCAGTTGAAAAATAATTAATATTGTGTATGACCCACATAAGATTATTAATAAAGTCATCTGGAATGGCAAAGAAAGCATTCTTGCAGAACTCCCAGAGTTCATCAAGATTCTTTGGATTCATCTTCAATGCCTCCTCCTTAATCTTATCCCAGACATGCTCAATAATGTTCATATCTGATGACTGGGCTGGCCAATCCTGGAGCACCTTGACCTCCTTTGTTTTCAAGAACTTTGATGTGGAGGCTGAAGCATGAGAAGGAATGCTATCCCATTGAAGACTTTGCCCTCTCCTGTGGTTTGTAATGTAATGTGCAGTACAAATGTCTTGATGCCATCTAATCTCTTAATCTCTCGCAGTATGCGCAGGATGCAGTTCAAAAGAAATCTAGCTTCGGCCACTTTTTCAAATGATCAACTAGAAGTCAAGTTATTATGCGTTCTCTTACAATTGGGATTGACAACAAGACTTTGGTCAGGTAGTGTATAATATCAAAAATTTGGATCAGGAAAATACTTTATGCTCTTGAAAAGAAAAATGCTAATTGCTTTATTTAATTGTGATTTACTCCATTGATGCTTTTCCAGTGACAAACATAATCCTTTAGAAATGCTGCTATACAAGTTTATACTAGACTTTCAGGATTCTTCGATCAACTAGAAGTTTTGTAAAAATCTAAAGGGAATGCTAACTTTTGATAAATGTAATGTATGCTAGTTTAATAAAAGTGTCCAAACCTTTGTTAAAGAAAAAAAAAAAATTTACCCGCAACTTTTAAACTGTTTTGTACACATTTACATTTTTGTATTTCTCAGTGCCTAAAACTAAAGTCTCCTTATGGTCATCATACCAGATAGGTCCGTGACAGCCGTTTTCTAAATTCTGGACTACCGATGAGGGGGCGACATCAGTGCACAGGTAATGATGGGCATCCACAGTCAATCTGAAGTAACCGTCCACCAGTGCAGCAAAAGACAGGGCTGCATCACGATAAAACAGATCCAACTCCTGGAAAAGAAAGAAGATAAAATTTTGGATCACATGAGAATTATTCATCAGGTGTATGGAAGTATTATACAATATCCTGACCAGGTGATGCATTTTTTTCTTAACTTGCAGCCAACACAACAAAAGACTCGACATTTTCTGGATTACCTTCTGCAAAACACTGATATGCTGGGCATGCAGATATACGTGTCATTAAATCTAGTCTAAAATCAGACATGAAACTAGACACAAAATATATGAAATATGTTCTGATTGGCTGACTAATCATGTTCAGTATGAACATACAAACAGCCTAAGCATGAGGTGTATTGCACCTGGTTAGGACACAGCATTGAGGTTTGTCTTATTAAAGAGACAGCTCATCCAAAAATGAAAATTGACTCTCCTTTAAGGGGTTTCGGTCTGAGTTTCTCTTTTTAGTTTTCAAAAGTTTACTCCAAATTTGAACCCTCTCACAAAAATAAAAATTTATTATTTGCTTTCTTATTTTGTTTTTACACACAAAATGAAAATGTGTTTAAAACTAAAATAAATAAACAGTAACTAAATAAAATTTGGGTGACACAGTGGCTCTGTGGTTAACACTGTTGCCTCACAGCAAGAAGGTCACTGGTTCGAGTCCCAGCTGGGCCAGTTGGCATTTGTGCGTAGTTTGCATGTTCTACCAATACTGGCATGGGTTTTCTCTGGGTGCTCCGTTTACCTCACAGCCCAAAGACATGCGGTATAGGTGAATTGAATAAACTAAATTGGCCATAGTGTGTGTGTGTGTCTGTGTGTATAGATGTTTCCCAGTACTGGGTTGCAGCTGGAAGGGTCTCCGCCATTTAAAGCATATGCAGGATAAGTTGGCGGTTCATTCCTCTCTGGTGACCTCTGATTAATAAAGGGACTGAGCCAAAAAAATGAATGAATGAATAAACTTTGTTATCTGCATGGGCAGAATTTTCACCCCCTTTCTCAAAAAGGGGCGTCTCAAAAAATATTCCAAAAATCTATCACTTGCTAGTTTTTAAAAGAAAACATTGCAAATCTGACAACGAGCTGAGGACCGTACTTTTTGAAGTTTGGTCAACCAATCAGCGCATGGTGGTGGAGGTAGTGGTTTTGGGGAGGGGGGGGGTAATTCCCACATACACAGAGAACACATTTTAAAGTGGTTTATTCATTTTGATGTTATCGCATTTTCATTTTGGGCGTAAAAACCAAATGTGATGAAATCCAAAATAAATATTTATATTCACGAGAAGATTCAAATTTGGCATAAATTAATTTTTTTTTTGTTTTTCCATTTTGAAAAAAAAAAATTGTTATACATCAGCACATGGACCAGTTCCAAACCTGTAAGTGTTTCTTTCTTCTGCTGAACACAAAAAAATGTTGGTAACTGCTGATGATCCCCATTGGCATGGGGATCTAGTCACCTTCAACTGTCTGGTTGCCAGCATACTTTAAAAGGTCATCTTTTGTGTTTTACAATTAAAATAAAATCATACAGGTTTGAAAAAAATTAATGAACTCTCTAAAATCTCAGTGATATGACAAAAGTACCATGGTTTTATTGTCTTGTCTGTAAATGGTGACACAGCAGTCCTTAATGACGATGTGGGTTATTTCATGAAAGTCGGAGAAAAGCGTCCATCCGCTGTCTTTCTTTTTGTCATTCCACTGCTTGTCGCCCTTGATCTTTTTAGATTTGGGTTTGTCTTTCAATATCAATTGATTCTATTAAAAAAAAACATTCAAGACAACAAAATGGTTACATTTCTTACAGAATAAAAGCATTTGGTGATATACTTCTGCAGGTTCACAAAAGCTGAAGCCCCAAACTCACCGGTGCGGGCTTTCTCCTCCATGAGATCCCAGTAGTTCCGTATACTTGCACCTCATAACCCATTCCGTTGTCCCCCAAGGGAAGCATCTGTGCTGGGGATCCCTCACTCTCACCCGTTACTTTTAGGTTCTTGGGCTTGAAAATCTCCCTACCCACTCCTTGAGTCAGCGTCTCGAGAGTGGACAAATACTTGACCTTCAGGTCATACAGACCTATATTGCTGTCCTGGATGGTCTTGCTATTGAACTCATTGAGGAAATTCTTGAAGACGTTACTGATGCGTATGCGTGTGAGGAAGTTGCGTTGCTTAATGGTGCGGTTCAGACTATCTGGAATGAAGCGCTTATAGCTAAAGACAGAAAGAAAAGGGTTGAAAGGTTACACAATATTTTGTATTAGGAGCACAATATTTTGCTCAAGTTCAATCAGCATGTGAACTCGCTTTGTTTGAAAGTGATTTAAAGGATCGTTCACCCAAAACTGAAAATTCAACTGAAGAATGTTCAAACTTGTAACCATTAACTTCCATAGTATTTGTTTTTTATCTACAATGAAAGTCAATGATTACAGGTTTTTCGTTTTCTTCAAAATATATATTTTAGGTGATCAGAACCACTCATAACCACTTGAGAGTGAGTAAATGGTGCCTAAGTTCAAATGGTGCCTAAAACATTTACGCAACTGATAATAAACCCGTTTTGGCAGACAATGCACTTTTATAATTGTATTAAACCAGTATTATACTTCCTTTTAAGCATAAATACATGAACAAACCCCAGTTATTTCTTACAATTATCTTTGGAAAACTGATTGTTGATAACAGCAAACATACAGTTGAAGTCAGAATTATTAGCCCCCTTTTGATTTTTATTTTATTTTTTAATTATTTCCTAAATGATGTTTAACAGAGCAATGACATTTTTACAGTATGTCTGATAATATTTTTTATTTTGGAGAAAGTTTTATTTGTTTTATTTCAGCTAGAATAAAAGCAGTTTTTATTTTTTTTAAAACCATTTTTGGGACAAAATTATTAGCCCCTTTAAGCTATTTTTTTCTATAGTCTAGAGAACAAACCATTGTTATACAATAACTTGTCTAATTACCCTAACCTGCCTAGTTAAGCCTTTAAATGTCACTTTAAGCTGCATAGAAGTGTCTTAAAAAATATCAAGTAAAATATTATTTACTGTCATCATGCCAAAGACAAAATAAATCTGTTATTAGAAATAAGTTTTTAGAACTATTATGCTTAGAAATGTGCTGAAACAATCTTTCCTCCATTAAACAGAAATTGAGGAAAAAAACAAACAGGGGCGCTAATAATACAGGGGGGCTAATAATTCTGACTTCAACTGTATTTAACTCAGATCTCTAGAGCTATAATTCTGATCAGTCAGACATAGCAGTCTGCATAACAAAAAATGACAATAGTTTAATACAATAGGCCATTCTATTATTATTGCTGTATAATGTAAATACATCAGGATTTGTGAGGTCACCTTGTCTCGGCTCCAGCTCCTGATAATGGCAAATTATTGCTCTTGGCATGATGGGTAATAGCTAAAACAGCCATTCCCAAGCACTCGTTCTCAATCTCATGATGCTCTTCATCATTCTGAGTTGGACGAACAGGAGACAGACCTCTCAGGAAATCATACTGGCCCTAAAATGCACAAAAAACAAAAAGCCACTAGTTTACACACCATCCCAAAGAGGGTTGAATAAACAGCAGTGCACCAAAACACATTTACATACATAGAGTACAAAGAGAACAAACAACATGATGACATGATAACAACAACAGAAACCACATGAAAGAGTGTTTGAATAGTCATCACATCACAACGCCTTTGTAGCAAAAAATAGATCATATTCATTGCTTACTTCAAAGCTGTCATAGAGACTTGGACAATCATGAAATTGATGCTTAACGTGTTTCCTGCACTTACCTGCGCAAACAGGTAATCAAGAGATGCGGCATCTAGTAGAGGTGTTCCCTCGGTGGTCTTCTGACTGTTTAATACACTTTTCTGTTTGCTGAGTGTGTGTCTCCAAACTGGAGACTCAATCTCACTGGTTCCATGCCAGTTTGTGAAATAAAACCTGTGTAAATAAATGAAAGTGGTAGTTTTTTTTACATTAATCGTTAAGAGAATATTCTATTTATTCTAAAAATGAAAAACCAAAAATTTTACAAAATGTGATTATTTAACAAGGTAAAATAACTTTATATTTTATATTATATCACAAAATATTCAATTACATTACATTATATTACATTACATCACATTGTATTTTATTATTTTATATTATATTGTATTGTGTTGTATTATATCACATTATATATATATTATATTATATTCTATTATATTATATAATATTATATTGTATTTTATTGTTTTGTATTGTATCAATCACATCACATCACATCACATCATATCATATTATATCTAAGAGATCGGTATCGGCCGATAATCACATTTCTTGACTCGATCGGTACTCGCCAATCTGGCTGATCACAAATGTTTGTTTACAAGTTAAAATAAGAACTGAAATCTTTTTACATTTCACAACTTAATGTTCTGTGTTTTCAACAATCTTGCAAGTTCATTAAATCCTGTCTGAAAATAGTAGGGAAATGGAAATGTATATATTTTTAACTTGAATATTTAATAATATAACTTATTGTAATATCCGCATTGTAATAAGCTGTAGTTTATGGACTTATTTCCTTTTATTAAATAAGTATTGGTCTAATATGTGTGCATTTCAACTAATTATGTATTAAATATGCGCTCCAAACTTCTTTGAGACATCAAGACTTAAGACTTAAGCTTAAGTATCATACTTTGACTGAAAATGGGCTTTATGCATTATAAATCTTAAAGCATCAGAATCGGTACTCAGTATCGGCCGATCACCATGACAAGAAATCGGTACTTGGTATTGGCTGCAAAAATGCTGATCTAAGCATCCCCAATTACATTACATCACAATATATTTCATTATATCATATAATATATATTATATATTATATTATATCACATTATATTATATTATATTATATTATATTATATCGCATTATATTATATCATATCATATCACATTATATCATATTAAATTCTACTATATTATATTATATTATATTATAATATATTACATTACATTATATTATATTATATTATATTATATTATATTATATTATATTGCAAAAAATGCAATCCCATGTATGCCTTTTAAAAAGAGAAATGCAAAAAAAAAAAGTAAACCAAAGTCAAAAATTATTATGGTGTATATGCACACACAAGTGTGTTATGATCATGAATGCTATCATAAATCCACGATGACAGGAGCCGATAGAGTACAACAACAACATGCCAAACTGTACATACAGCACTATAACAAAGGCTTATATTATGTAAATATACTAGCATATGGTAAATAAGGTGTGCAGCATGTGTCAACAATCAACAGAAAAAGAAAAAGAAAAGCTACACCACCCCACTGCCACGCGAGAGAAAGCTTATTGTAAACAGGAAGCAGCATGAGTGAGAAAAGAGTGCACTATGCCACAGAGGAAGAGAGAGTGCACAAAGGTTGACCATAACCTGTTTGTGTGCACAACAGGTAAGCTTCACACACAGGGAGAGAGCGATTCTGTACAAAATCCTTGGTTTGAATACTGTAGTTGCCTCTTATCGTAGTTTCACTTATGAAAAGGGGAAGTTCAGGGGATTGTATGTTTTGCTTTGGTAAACTTTTAAATGTCTTTCGCAATGAGGAGAGAGCTGAAACAATGTCAGATGTTAGCAGGTTTGTTTGTTTATTTGTCATGATAGAAACCCAAGCTGTTTTTTTAAGGTTGTAGCAGGTCTGTTCAAGGCATACCACAGGATTCATGCTCATTTCTTCCATGATCAACTTAAAATCTTTACTAAATCGATTAAAATGTCTAGGTTTTTTAAATTACATTTAAAGAGCCCCTGTTATGCATTATAAAAGGTCATATTTTTGGTTTTGGGGGTCTCCAACAACAGGCTGATATGCATGTAAGGTCAAAAAACACTTTCATTGTCTTATAAAATGCATTTATTTTTACCTAATTATCCCAACGACTTACAATTTTTAAAAGCACACAATCATTTCCTACTTCAGGTTTGAGATGTAGTTCCATGTTTTACATTGCTAAAAACAAGGTGGTCTAAGTAAATAACCTTTTATTTTTCTCTCATACAAACTTTAAAGCGCAAATGTCAGTGTTTCCTCTAGGATTTTTTCCAGCTGTGGTGGCAGGCCTTTTTTACACAGATCTACCAACCACCTATGCCGTTATTTTTATGACAAATGCCATGAGTGCAGCATTACAAGTCAAGATCGCATTTATGTAATAGCCAATGCGAGCATGCGAATCTCTTTGCTTGTGCGCCGATTTCCTCTGCTCGAGCACAAAACGTCTTGCACGCCCCCTCAAATATACACTGCTCAAGCGCAGATCTTCTTGTGCGCTCTCAAACGCTGCTGAAGTGCGATGTAGTGCGTTCATATAACAAGTATGTCTCCAACATTTATTAGATTTGCTAGGAATATTTATGAACGTCTCCAATAGACCTACAGAGCGGTATTAATGCATCCTGAAGTGAAACGACTATACGTTGTTTGCTCACCTCACGCATCACGCAGCAGCCAGTTAGTCTATCAACACATAGCCTTAAAGGTTCAAACAAATAACGCAAAGCACTACCACGGTTACAGAAAGGGTCACGCTAACATAATTCACTAACATTTTAATATGTTTTGGTGCAATTACAACCCAGTATTAAAAAAAAAAAAAACACGACTGAATGTTTTGAATGAAAAGCTGCAATGTAGCTGTAGCGGGATCAATTTTGGCGTGGCGCCCTGCCATGGAAGAACGAATGTAGCGGAAACCATGAATGTGCCCAACAAACTTCTACTGAAAAATAACTTCTTCTTTTTTTCCAGAATTTTGGTGTGAAAGACTATTATCATTCTTTTGAAAGTGAAGTGTTACTGTTAAAAAGATTGTGGGAGATTAAGCACTATTTGGTTGTGATCTCTCACCTCATGCGATAATGAAGTTTGATGCTGGTCTCATCTGTGACCTTGAACACGTGATTTGGAGCATACCAGAGATCCTGGCTTTCTTCATAGAGTGCAAACAGGTTGTGGCACAAAGGTGAGATGCCTGTGGAAAACATTAGTCACAATTAGAGCCTGCTCAAACCATATTCCTTTATTTGTTATGCCTCAGCACAGTTGAGAGGCTGATGAAATAAAACACAAAGCACACGTGCTGTTACAGTTACAACTTATAGTTGCAAATCCCCTCTTGAGATGAGAAATCTGAGAAAATGCTCACAGCTAAATGGTTGTTTATGAGATATGTCTGTCTATTACTAAAGCTATTGCTTGAATATGGCTGCAATGTCAAGGACGGATAAATCATATACAATGATTATATGCACAGAAAATGGCCTGGCGTTATCTTACATTTCGTCATCGTAATGTATAAATGGCTTCAAATACTTCATCTCAGACATTCAGACAAAGGTAAGCAGAAGCTCGAAGCTTGGGTGAGAGCTGTGTGTGTGCTGCTGGCTTAAGGCTGATTTATACTTCTGCGTCAAACGCCGGCGTATGCTACGGCGCTGACGCATAGCCCTTCGCCGTGGCCGTCGGCATCGCTGACGTGCACCTTTTAAAAAATGTAACTACACGTCGCAACGATGCGTAGCGCAAGCTCTGTGATTGGTTGGCTTAGTATCGCTGACGAGTCTGGGCGGGACCGAGAGCCGCGTGAATGGTGCGAGCCTGATGGAGCGATTGTTTACAAGTGTGGAGTCCCCTGAAGGAGCTCCGGATGAAAAGTTTTGTTTTGTGTTTACCTCATAGTAAAAGTTTTTGCACGTCCACCGGTTCCTGCGTCAAAATGAGCGAGTTTGAGCCACTTGTACAGCCCGGAAGTGTTCAGGAAAAGCAACACAGCAGCGAAGAAACTCGACACAGAGGAACAAACACCTCACTGCCAACTAGCTTTTCGGAAGTGTTAATGCAGACCAACAGAGACAGCGCGCAGAAGTATAAATGCACAGCTACACGCGTTGCATGCGCCGTGGGTTACACCGATCACTTGACGCAGAAGTATAAACCAGGCTTTAGCTGGATCTCTATTCCTGATATTACAATCTCAGAGACTACCAGGGGAAAAGCTGTGCATTAGAATTTATAGAGATATGAAGCTAAACGTCTCACAGTGGACTGAGGTAAGACAGGTGTCTGTTTACAGGACCATTGAGAAATGTAACCAGAGTAAGTTTTGAAGTTTTCATTAAGAGCCTAAGGAATCATATCTACTTGTGTAAAATGGGAAATGCCACATTTTAATGGCAAAAGCAGCGTGCAAGTATTTTTAAATAAAACTAAATGGAATGTGTCTAAAAACCTTCAGAATTCTCCCATTTGTAAAAAAAAAATGAAATAAATAAATAAATAAAACAAGTGTGTGTAAAAGGTATTTGCACACTGAGGTCTGAAATTTTCGAATGCGTTTTTTACGTATTCATATGCGAAAAATTATGTAAACAAACCTTGCACACAAACTACAATGCATATTAATTAATCCATTACGAAAAAATGCAAAACGTTTAGAAGTCAGTTCGAGTAGTGATACTTTGTTCTCCTCTCTTCTCCAAAGTAAAAAAAGAAAGAGGAATATGCTACACATTGTGTTCATCCATTACTGCATAGAGAGAAAGGAGAGTTCAGCTCATTATCCCTAATAGGGTAATCCCTAAATGCAAAGTTTATTTCCGGAAATTAGTGGAATTTTGATACATGAAGCTTGTGATGCTTCACACATTCACATAAGTAAACAAATCCTGAACAGAGAATGGCAGTACCTATAGACATTATAATAGATGGTGGCCACGTTGATGTGTCTAAGCAATGGACCGAAAGTGGACAATGCTTTCTATTATAATGTCTGAGCAGTACGTCAAACGTATGGACAGGACACATTTGCACACACACACACACACACACACGCTTCCGCACACACCAAGCAGCAGAAAGGGAGATGTGTGCCAGTCACGAAATCCAGCATAGGGGTTTCTCAACTGTCCGCCACATTGTGTTCTTATTTTATGCACCGTGTTTGTCAAAGTTGTCTGTAGCTCAAATGAACGCACTCTGTATTTAGGACGGATGAATGTTTCCGAGGCAGTGTTTCAATACAATTCACACAATGTGAGGTCGAATTTATTTTTTAACATTCAAAAATTACAGACAAAAATTTCGAATTCAGTCTGCAATAATTATTAAAAACTGTGAATAATAAAAGCAAAAACATCTAGCCTCAATATCAGTTCCAACTGATTTTATGTAATTTGTTGTTTACTGATCACATTTAACCAATATTTGGTTCTGATGTATTGATTTAATGCTGGTTTCAGAAACAGATCTGTGAAAGGTATATAGCATTTTATTGGTTCTATGCTATCAGATGAACTAGTTAAAAAAGTAGAAGGAAGACTTAACACTATACCTTTAAAAGTAAAAGAAAGCAGCTAACTGTTGGGTGTGAAAATAAATAGTGTGAAACAAACACCATTGTAGTTCCTCTCGAGAAGCAACCTTCTTGAATAATACAAACTTCCCTTTTCTCTATCACCGTCCAAGGCAGCTTTTGTCCTTGGCTGCAACTTTGAGGAATTTCTGGATGTGATATTAAACCCAGCAGCCATTTTGTGGCTAAATATTGATCAAGGGCCAAACAGACAGACACACTGTTCCATTGGAAGATCAGAAGGGATAAACAACGACGGTAAATAGTAAAAATCTTCATCCTAAGGTCAATGTCTCGTCTTAATCCACCATGTCACATGGTGACACCAACAGTAAAAACCCTTTCAAAAGTTCCTCTTTTGTATTCTGTGAAATGCTGACAGTACAAATGCCCCATTCCTCAATCGCACGATTTAAACATGAAACCAAATGCACAAAGAATGTCCCTTTTAATTTTCATGTTGACCTTGATCAGTAAAACCCCTTTTTGGTCAGTAAAAACTGAAAACTCTTTAAAAAAGAAAAAAGCAAACCTCAAATATCTGGATCATTTATTTATTTTTATCTAATAAAAAGAAGTCTGGAATGTTGATCATTTCATGCACTCAACAGTCACAAACTTTGCTTATGCAGTGGAAGGGGAGAAGCGATCGGGCTTTAAGGATGGATTACAAAACTCACTTAAGTTGGGTGTACACAATGTCATTTTTGCTATGCTGTACATGTGGTTGTGGCTCGTACTATGAGAGGAATGTATGAGCAGATTCAGCTGAGCGATTTGAGCTCTCAATCATCTTTACACCCGTCAAATAAGCTCTGGAGCTATTGGCCGAAATTCTTGAGGTGTGTGCGGTTCAATGGGCCAACATGTCAATCTATCTGACTTGACCAATCAAGAGAATACACTCAATGAACAGTGATAAAATAATAAAAGATGATGGACAGTGGACAAAGTATAATTCACTAATAATTCTCACACACAAGATGACAAGGCATTCGGTTTTCACAACGGCTAAAAACAACCTCTATGTATTACAAACATTCATAGCTAGAAACAAAAGTAGTTATATGAGAAAGATAGAGAGAGAGACTATGAAAGCTATAAAAGTAATGTTTTCCTGTCCATGTTCTTGACATGGAATTTTATGTGATTGCTTTGGAATTTGCTTGGAAATAAATCCAATTCGTTTGCCACTGGGTCCGAACAATTTTCTCAAATTCATTTGTAACATGTACAGTACGTTGTCCATATGACCTTTTGTCCACTGTGTTCGGCCACCTTTTATAGAAATAACTACCTTTTACCATAGTAGCCATGACAAGTACTCTTTGGTCAGTAATTAATGTCATTGCTTTAACTTTCAATAGTTCAACAACATTTAACAATCATTTGGCATTGACTGGGAGACTCTTTGATTTCCAGTTAGCAAAATTTGAGATGACACTAAATTCTTAGACTCCATGGTTTAGTGTGTTTTGCGGCATGGCAGCTCAGTGGTAAGCACTGTTGCCTCACAGCAAGAAGGTCACTGGTTCGAGTCCTGGCTGGGCCAGTTGGCATTTCTGTGTGGAGTTTGCACATTCCCTTTGTTCACGTTGGTTTTCTCTGGGTGCTCCAGTTTCCCTTACAGTCCAAATACATACGCTATAGTTAAATTGATTAAGCTAAATTGGCCGTAGTGTATGTGTGTGAAAGTGAGAGTGTATGGATGTTTCCCTGTGATGGGTTGCAGAAGGGAAGGGCATCCGCTGCGTAAAACATATGCTGGATAAGTTGGCGGTTAATTACGCTGTGACGACCCCTGATTAATAACGGCACTAAGCTGAATAGAAAATGAATGAATGAAACAGCCTGTAGTGGATGAGTGTGTATGTGTGTGTTTGTGTGTGTGAATGACTGCATGGGTGTTTCCCAATACTGGGTTGGGGCTGGAAGAGAATCAGCTATGTAAAACATATGCTGGAATAGTCGGCGGTTCATTCTACTCTGGCAACCTCTGAAATAGAGACCAAGCCGGAGGAAAACGAATGAATGTATGTATAGCGTTTTATTTGGGATGCTAGTTATAACTCGAACTTTGCCTTGACAACCATTTCCAACAGCTGATGAAATGATGCATCACTGCTCAGAAATCAGGCCATCATGATCACACTCTATGTCCTGAGAGATGCATTAGAGGCTGACAATCTATTAGTGCTCTAAACAGGCTGGCGTCCAAACACTTACGGCATCTCTTGGCAGCCTCCACGCACAGGTCTTCCGCAGTGTAGCAGGCTTTGAAGAACTCGAGCTGGTGTGTGTCAGCAAGGTAGAAGTGGATCTCAAGTCCCTTCATGGCAGTAGGAATGGTCATCTCTGCCTTCCTCTGTTTTTTCATCTTCACACACAGTTGCCTGCCCAGATCCATGACTGCTAGTTCTGGCATCCAGACACTGCAGGATAAACAGAGGTAACAGAGATTTATTCATAAACTGCGGGTGCCTGCTTGAATGATCATTTACCTAGTATGAAATAACATGAGTTCTCAAAAGTTACATTTTTTAAAACCATCATACCTGAATGAACCACACAAAAAAAAAAAAAAAAAAAAAAATCACATAGAGATTTTTTTTGAGAGTTAGTAAATATTGTGCGGTCTCAATATTGGTAAATGTGTACAAATTAAACATGATTCTCAATACTAGCATTGACATTACAGCAAAAAAAAATTTTTTTTTTTATGAACAATACATTTTTCAGCATCAATACTGCAATATGTAAATCTGCAAGTCAAATAGCAAAGTGAATTTAACCCATTTGGACACAAGAAATTATAAGGTTTGCCACTTTAACAAAGTTTAATTGTGTTTAATTATAGAATGAAGACTATACAGGGTTAATTTACATTTGATTAATCAATTTCTGTACCTTAATACTGTTAGACTTCTCTGAAATCCATAAAGCACTGTTTAGTTTACCTTTATTCTTTGACCTATTGTTTTCATCTGTGCTTTAATTTATTTGGTACATTTTGAAAAAGCATGGGACGGTTTTTAAAGTATACCATGGGTTGAAAAAGTCAGGGTTTTAAAACATCCAAAACTCTCTGCTATACCGTTTCTATGGTATCTGCAATTTTTTACCCATTTTTTAGGACAATAGTATCTGCAGCAGAAAAGATATCCAAAGCTGCTTTTTCAAATGGTAAAGAAATCTGTGTTTTTGAAACTTAAATTAATCAGCCTGACATGTTTACTGTTCCTCAAAATGTTTCTCAAAATAAAATATATTTTGTTCTAAGAGGGGAAAATTTGCTGTTTTTTACCCAGACATTTAAAAAATAATACATTTTAGAGCAGTAATCGCAATATCATGAAACCGCAATATTTTTATCCAAGGTTATCATACCGTCAGAATCTTATACTGGCCCATGCCTAATTTTGAACATTTAATGCAGATGCACTTCCTTTAAAAAAAAATAATGTAAAAAATCAACCCAATCAATGTGCAATTCTGAATTTTTTCCAAAGTCATCTAATATAATTCATAATCGCAATATACAAATCGAAGAAAAACAAAAAAATGCAATGTCCATGTTTTCCAATATTGTGCAGCCTTATTATAAGCACCTTTATTAAACATTGATTTAAAAAATAACCAAATATTACATCAGGTTCGTTATTGACTAAACTAAAACTAAAATCATTTTGAAGTAAACTTTAAGTAGAAAAACCTCTAAAAATAAGTAAATAAGTATAGAATGTGTCTTTCATTTTAAATTTACAATTAAACAGACTAAAATATAAAACGATGCAACAGACATTTTAAAAATACCTATTCAAATTTGACTAATTAATAAAACAACTAAACTCTTAAAAGATAAAGGTAGAAAATACAGAAGTAGATGAATAGTTATACAGTATTTGGAACTATTAATCTTAAAAAACAAACAAAAACTATTAAATCAAAGCTACAATAATTTTTCAGTGATACTAGAAATAATGCTGCAATTTAACTAATAATTAATTAGCATTTACATTAGGTATGGGCCGATATAAGATTCAGACGGTATGATAACCTTAAATATCATGGTTTCACTGTATCGAGATTGCTGCTCTAAAATACATTCTTTTAAAATATCTAGGTAAAAAAATAAAAACTTTTGTTCCCCTTAGAACACAATATATTTTATTTTGAGAAACATTGTAATGTTTTGGAACTGTAAAAATGTCAGGATTAATGTTTCAAAGTAACCATTGACTTCTGCTGTTTTCATGTTGTTTCAAAAACACTGATTTCTTTACTATTAAAAATGACATTTTTGGACATCTTTTCTGCTGGAGATACTGTTGTCCTAAAAAAAAAAAAAAAAAAAAAAAAAAATCTTATGGAACGTATAGCAATAAATTTTTACCGTTTTAAAACCTTGACTTTTCCAAACTGCGGTAAACCTTGAAAATGGTTATCGTCATGTGCCTAATTTATATACATTTTTATATTTTTGACACTGGACTAGAGGTGTTAGACAACCCACATCCTGGAAATGTACTAAATGCATTGAAGTTTTACTGCAGCTAACAGCAGATGAAGACAATGGCAACAAAAGATGAGAAAACACAGTAAGAGTAACAGTACTATGGACAAAAAAATAGACAAAATGGAACTAAAACACTGCTGTTTCCACTCTAAAAATCACTGTGACTAATCAACAACATATACTGGGGTCTACATTATGCCACAATTTGAATATTCTCCGCTGTCCACCATGACAAAGCTTGACTAGTTAGTTTAAAATGGAAAAACACTTAATCAACAGAAGTACATCATCTTTAGTGTGCTCACAACAGGAGCCCTCACACAAAGCATAGATTCAACAGCGAACATGAGGGAGGGTGAGATGAACACCGTTCGCATCAGAATCAGGTGGTTTTGACTCCATAAACCTCGCCTCGGATCCTGCAGGTCAAGACGTGCCTAGATGCCGAGATCCCTGCTGGCATTTGTGAGGATGTTCCTGAGACAGATGAATGAATGCAAAAAACAAACTGTGCTAAGAAAGAAATCTAATTGGAAGCAGTTAATGACCACATTTGTCTTTGGAGTGGCATTAGTGAATTCAAGAAGCTGAACAAACTAAGACTATTGGCTTGGCTTTATGAAATATTAGTATAATAAGATCACAAATCCACTTCACATTCATCACCCCGGTGCCAGGGTATAAGAGGCACTTTCGACAATTAGAGTACAATTTACGCACCATTACTCTTTGCATTAGAGGAATTATTCCGCTGTTTTGTTACTAGAAGTTTGAAAATTAAAACAAATGCAACCGCACTTCAGGCATCTGAGTTCGAATTCAGCACCACCAACCTTTGGTGATAGCTTCTCTTTCTCTCTACTTTACTTCCTGACTACCTTATGTCCTATAACAAGAAAAAATAATAATAAATACATTTCTTTATATACAGTTGAAGTCAAAATTATTAACCCTCCTGTGATTTTTTTTTTCTTTTTAAAATATTTTTTCAAATGATGTTAAACAAAACCTGAACATTTTCCACAGTATTTCCTATAATTTTTTTCTTCTGGAGAAAGTCTTATTTCTTTTATTCTAGCTAGAAATGAATATCATTAACCTTTTTAAAGGGCCATGAAACCCCCTTGTTTCAGCAGGGTGTTTTCACACCTCTACTTTGGAAAAAGTCAGAAAAGTGAGTGTGTCCAGCTCTGTTTAGGGGGAGTAATTTGCCAAATAATTTGCCAAATTATTAAATGGTGGACTTTAACTGCAGTTTGGCTCTTTCATTCAGGGAATTCAGTCATGCCCCTCGCGACAAACAAGATATTTGATTCGAGGAATTTCTTTAAGCTTGTATTTTTCATGCAATGTTTGATACCGCACGGCGAATGAGAGAAAAAAAAAACCTCCGCATTTCCCGGAAACTAAGATGCACACGGCAGGTAGTGTCAGAAAGCCGCGTGTGTTATTCTGGTCACAAAATGCGTTGAAAATCCTACACAAGGTTAAAGTTTGGTTGTGGTGCTAACATGTTTACACTCGGTGCAATAGTTCACTTAGTTCGATACGAACAAACTGAATAAACAAAGAGCACTGGTCGCTCACTTACCAAATCTGTAGAGACAGGACAATCACCAGCAACTAGAGCCGCGTCTTTATTAAGAGAAGACTACAAGCGAATCCGGATCTCAGCGTTTGCAGATGAGAACAGCTCTCAGGTAAACAATGTGCCTCCTTAGACACGCAAGTTAAGTTATTGTTGTCGAGCGTCGCGTACACTGTTAATCCACACGTGAGTCCAGCTGAGCTCTCACAGAGAGAAAATTAAAACAAAACTTAACTGCAGCAAACTATAAAAGCAATACTTCACCCTTGTTTTGCCAAAACAACGTGGTGTCTCTGTCGTCTAAACATTGTGACAGTAATGAATATTAATGAAGTTGCACAATAGAGCATGCTGATTGGTTTGAACCAAGCCTTACTCATGCATTAATGCATCACACTCTGAGACGTAATAAGGCCCACTCTGGTACAGACGTCCAGTCTGCACGCTGGAATACACGCTATTATGTCATGACCGTGACGCAGCTTCAAAAATTAGTTTCAAACCGGAAGTACGAATTTGCTTGAAATAACGCAAAAACAACCAATTTACACTTTTTAGTGAAATATATGTAATGTCCTAATAGTGTTTTAGCAGTGTGGGACACATATATGACTGTCAACAGCTCAAAAAATGTGTTTTGGTGTTTCATGACCCTTTAAGCTAGTTTTCTTTTTTGATTGACAAAACAAACCATCATTGGTTGAAAATGATCTGCCTATAATTACCCAAACTTGCATAATTAACATAATTTTAAGTCTTTAAACTGCACTTAAAGCTGAATATTAGTGTCTTGAAAAAACTGCAATAAAATATTTCAGTGTTTCCTCTAGGATTTTTTCCAGCTGTGGCGGCAGACCTTTTACACAAATCTACCAACTACCTATGGTGTCATTTCAATGATAAATGGAGTCGAGATTGCATTTATGTGCAATACGAGTGTGCTTGCCTGCCGATTTCCTCTGCTTGTGCACAAAACCTCTTCCACACCCTCTTAAATATAAGCTACTCAAGCGCAGATCTTCTTGTGCGCTCTCAAAGAAACGCTGCTGAAATGCAATTTAGTGCGTTTATGTAGTATGTCTCCAACATTTATTAGATTTTCTAAGAATATTTATGAATGTCTCCAATAGACTTACAGAGTGGCATTAATGCATCCTGAAGTAAAGTGAAACGGCTATAGACTCCAGCAAGATGAAGTCATTGTATGCAGAGCCATAGACCTTTAAAAATATGGAAATTGTGTTTATCTTAACTGAAATAAATCAGTTATTAGAAATTAGTTATTGAAACTATTCTGTTTCTAAATTAGTTTTTCTTTCCGTTAAACA